ACATTATAAGATTATTAAGTTATAGACTTAATAATATAATAGTACTAGAATATAGAACTTAAAGTAGTAGACTTAATCTAGATATCTTTAAGGATATATTTATAATATTAGTAAAAAAGATAAAGAAAGTTAGATAACCTATATAATATTACTAGATTAGGTCGTAGTAGACTATTAAGAAGATAGCTTTATTAAGTGTTTGTCCTTCTAGAGCTCTAGCGCTTCTAAATACGTACGTAAAGCGTACGTAAGTAAGTAGTTAAAAGCATCTTTATAAGCCTAACGCGGGCTGGTTTTACGAGATAGGGCTCGGCAAGGGGTAGTAATAGCTAAACGGTAAAAAATGGCGCCTTACCCCGAGCCCTAGGCTTGACTCCTCGTAGTCTTAGTAGGAAAGGATCGCTACGCTCTACTCCATTCTTTGCTTTTTTCACTAGCCTAGACAAAGTGCGTCGTAGTAGAGTATCGCGGCGGTCTCGAAGCCGGGTGGTTTTAAAGCTGTGCTTCCATTGTAATTTAACGCGTTTTGCCTCGTGTCCGCGAAGCACGGACGCGGGCCCGGCATCTACTCGGGACATCGGCGCTAAGGATCCGGCTTGCAGCTCCGGGCGATCACGAGCTCCCGAAAGCTTGTGCTTTCCTCCCTGCTTACAAAACATCTCGTCTCCTTCATCTATTTCTTTTTGTACGTCCATGAGCATCTCGCCCACTCTTGACCAACGCATCAGTCATTTGAAACTGCTATCTCCAAATCCCACGCCATATACATCCTCTCACGAGATCAGCTGGGGTCCTTTCTCTAAGGAGTGGATTCTTGAGACAGCGAGCCTTGAGTATGAGTAATGAAGATACCACCTATGGCTGGCCCTCATCAATGCCAGGCACGAAAACGATACCAAAAACGCTCGAATTGTAAAACCATCTGGGACTAACAGCAGGAAAGACGATGCAAGCAAAGCTTTGACATCATCTTGGCCAACCTGGAGCGACATAACACGCTTGATATGGGCCAAATTGACTCGAAGAAGTCACTGGACCGCAACGCGAAGCATTTGGGGACTCTGCGCTTGCTTAGGTCCATGGCGCCAACGTCAATTGCGACGAAGACCCGTTTGTCCCATCAAGTCCGATTGCGTTGCCACCAACTTCCGTCTCTGCCGAATCGCCTGATGGTCGCCGTCGCAAGTGGTCTTTCAGCTCCAAATCAATTAGCTGGACACAGTGAAGCAAGAACATAGTGTCAAAGGACCACCCAATCAATGCTGATGCCTCGAACCTTCAGTTTGATGGCAACCGCTCTCGTTCAAAGCTTTGCCGATTCTTCAAGCTGCTCCAGCTCTCAACGCTGGCAGGTTTCCATTACCATCTTGTCATCGGGGCGTCCAATTAATATCACGACGCAGATGAAGACGCAGCAAGCGCTGGACACGATCCAACCGTCTCGAAGGCGCTAGCGGTACACGGGTTCCTACGGTTGAATAATTCGATGAGCAGCAGTAATAAAGAGCACTTGCCACGAGTCACGACCTCACTGCCACTAGTGCCATCGTACGCTACGGCTTCGCTTGAATCATCAAGCGCATTTGAAGCCAGTCTACCCGATCAGGCGATGTCGAATGATCGTGCAACGCCGATGTTGGCATTCTAGTCCATTTTCTCGAAGGCTCACTTGGGACCCTTGGACATCTTGGGCGACACCGTTAGTTCTGTCCGCGACATCCTCTTTGGTGATGCGCTGCGTAGAAACTGCCATAACATGCATTGGTCCATTGTGAGAACCTTCAATCCGCCAAGGCAACCGTATTGGAAGTTGGAGAGCTGGAAGCTAATAACGAAGCCAGTGACTTGCCGCCTGCCGAACGGCAGAGCGCTCCCCGCGCCTCACTTTCGGAACACGGCGAGGGAAGAACCTTGGCACATTATTGGTGTAGTCGAAATCTGAGACCTTGCCCTATATGTGAGTGACGATCTGCTACCGAAAAGAGAGCTCATAACGTTCCGAACCGTGGAACGGTCAGCCGCCTTCGGTTATATACTTCATCATCTGCTTTCGTTTTTCGCGCCCTTCTTCAGGCCAACGACCTGGCTCGCACGGCTCGCTAACAAGGAAGACAGACCTTGTTTCTTCCTCTTCCCGAGCTGTTGCTCTTCCGTTACTCTTCGACCTACGTAGCCTTCTGCTGCCGTCTCTGCGCAGCCATGAGAGGCATCCCGGTATCCTGGATTCTTCTCTTTCTACACGTGGCTGGTGGAGCGGGCTTCCGCCACTTTCACGACAAACCGGGCCTCCGTCATAGAGAGATACAAGGGAATAATACGGTGGCATTTGCACCTTGCGTACAAACCTGCCAATCTCAGTTTGCGGACCTTATCAGCGAGATCTGCAGCAGTCACCATGACTTCTATCATTCCCCATTGACGCGCTGCATCCAGACAACATGCCCGCTCCTCACAGACCTGCTTGATTGGCAGCGGAATTCTTGCAAAAATCTCAAGGTGCGCGATGATGGCGACCTTCAAGTCAATCTCGCGTACGTTCTTTTCGCACTGGCTACTTTATCTGTGGTTGGAAGGTGTCTGTCGCGGTCTGGCAAGCTCGATGGACCTGGCTTCTGGTACGATGATTGGGCTGTGTTGATAACCTGGACACTCTCGGCGGTCGAAATGGCGGTCTGCCAGCCATTCTTGTACAAGTACGGAGCCGGAAAAGATGTCGTTGCCGATGGAATCGGCGTGGAAGATATCGTGAGAGTCGGATTGGTATGCTTCCCATCTTCCCAGGGTGAGAGATCATGCTGACCTGCCGAAGTGGGTGTATGTTGGTGAGCCATTCTACACTGTCGGTACCTTCTCGATGAAGATTGCTATGGTTCTGCTCTATTTGCGGATGTGAGTCACTCTGCAATCCCCGCAGTGATCGCCGCACGAAGAATGGTGAACTGACGTAACATACAGGTGGGAATCAAACACTGGATTTCGTAAGGCTTGCTACGTGACCCTGGTGCTACTCGCGATAAATACCATTGGATTCGCTGTTGGCGCCATCTTTCTCGCCTGGCCAAAAAATTACTATGTGAGAGTTGAGAGCGTCAATAATCAATGCTTGATGCTAATGTTCCCAGATTGGTGATTCGGCCATGGTTCGGCACTACGCGCATAGCATAGACATTGTTGGCGGATTTTTGGCTCTTACAGGGCTCAATATCGCCATGGACATCTGGGTGATTCTATTGCCCCTTGTGAAACTGGTTACGCTCAGAGGTATAACAAGAAGTCGCAAGGTTGGGTAGGTTGTCTCGCCAGAGAAGTGTTCAAGACACGCCTCGCATTCAATTTGCTAATACATGCCCTATTCAGGATTTGTGTCACCTTCCTTCTCGGTTTCGTCGTAACGGCCTGCAACGTTGTTCGCATAACACGCATTGTGCCACTCAGGAACTCCGTCAACTTCACTCGGGACATTGGAAGTTTAGCCCTTTGGAGCGAGGTCGAAGTAAACTTGAGTTTCGTCACCGCCAATATTCCCGCTCTTGCGGGACTTTGGCATCGACTGACGAACACAAAGCGTCGAAGTTTGAGGACCACCAGCGGGACTCTTCCGAGCTCGTCGGATTCCACGATACAGATGTCATCGACCACGCCAGAAGAGCCTGTCCGGCCTGAATCTGCGTCTTCCGAAGACGACTCCTCTGGTAGCAATATGAACAAGGGCGGAGTGGCTTATTCTGCATTCGCTACGCCTCCCATAAAGTGACGCGCTCGTGGTGCGGCCGAGGCCATCGAGTTCTATCGCCGCACTTCACTCTAAATCAGGAGCTTGGGCATCTCCATACCGGAGCAAGATCACAAGTGGTCCAGGACGACTATCGAGGGGAATGCCACGAAATACACAGGATGTCACGTTGTAGCAGACATGCTCACGACCTTCCTGTGGCAATCTGGCCTGGTGACTATGCGAAATTTGCGGCAAGATCAACTGGGAATCCCGGCGTCGAGAGCATGCTGGTGCCTCCACCTATCGTTCGCCAGGACATCCTCGAACCGCAATCTACACCCTCCGGTCACGCCCAAGGAAGGAGGGAGTTTTGTGCTGTCCAATGATCGGACGGGGATACAACCACCTTATTCCCGCAGAGAGCAGGCTGGGTCAACCTCTAGGCCGCGATGCACTCTTGGAAGTTGAAGAGTCTCGCACACTTCAGCTGGTGCAGTGAATCGTTCCGAAAAGCTTCGCTTGGCATATGCTATGCAGGAGGGCAATCTGAAACACCACACGGGACATCCATCTACTCAAACCTAACATGGAAAGCTTGGGAATGCTCTTATGAAACCTGCCCGGTTGTTTCCAAGAGGCTCGCGCACATCCAGCCCGCATTGTCGTCCGACCTTCCGCCTCCGCTTTCCGCCCGCCCGATACCTCTCTCCGCCACTCCACGTGTGCTGATGGCTAGTCGTCCAAAGTCCGACTCTCAACCCTTTCCAAGCACCGCGTCAAGTCGACAAGATCCTCTGCAAGCTTCAACCTTCTCTCCGTCTTGGCGCCATTGAGAGCCTCAAGCCGAGATGCCCGGAGACACGAGCCTGTACAACATGAATCCGATGTCTGAGGGCGTATTCGAACTTGCACCCTGGTGCCAAGTGCGCGACTTCCTCGACACGGGCGCGTAACGATTTCAGTATCACTTCCAAATCGAAGTCTTCTCCAGTCGCCTGTCCGCTCGGCGGACCGAATTCGATGGCGCTGTGGATGCAAAGTACCATGTCGCGAATAGAAAGGGCGTTCCTCGTGCCGATTAGCCCGCTGAAGCGCTGGTATGTTGTTTTGTTCGCGGCGATGTGATTCCAGAAGGACAAGGACGAGGCCCCACCCCGGGCTCTCCACGATGAAGAAGTTGAGGGAGCAGACCAGCTTGGACGTTTCGTGGTGCATGGCCTTATATGTTTGAGTAAAGGCTGTTGAGAGCTTGATATTCCGGCCATGATTGCGCTCCTGGCTAACCTGGTACCGATACGGACGAGGTAGAAAGGGGCTTCTTGCTGTAGCGCGAATTCGAAGATGCGAGTTCATAGCTCCGGAGAGAGCTTGCTGAAGCGCGAGCTATCCACGATGGATGACAGTGTCATTTTGACGCCGAGGTCGATTTATAGGTTCGCCCAAGAACGGAGGGCGATTCAAAGAGCCTCTCGGCTTGAGAGTGCTTCGTCCATGGAGACACATTGATTCACCAGCTCCGCAGACAGCATTAATACCGGACACAGCGCACTAGACTCGATACTGTCGCTCACATGCCTCACTTCAGAGCATAAGAAAACAACGAGGGTCGCAAGCATACACTTTGGCTCGAGCCAGCTGCTGGTTCGAATGGTTTCCGGATGGATTGAACGAGTCCACGATCGAGCGCAGGCGACGGGAAGCAATCTGCCATGAACGCAGCTCGGACGCTTTTCCCTAGAGTCGACGCACCACGCAACCATGGCCAGAGAGCTCCTAGCGTCAATCGACGGCACGGAAACCAGACGAAGATTGCAATCACGAGAACCCCCAGCCAGGTTCAGCCGTCCGCTGCGGGTTCATCTAGCCCTGGAATGCGCAACCAGATGATGGCTGGCATATAGACTTGCTATACTTTTCTTTTCGACCAAAAGCCGCCGTCCTCGAAGCGGAAATTTCCACGATTGGGGCTGGAAATTCTTTTAAAGCACGAGCCCAAGATCGAAATCGCGATTGGATGGATCCGCGCAATAAATGCCGTTTCCTAGAGCACATGGTATATGCCCAAGGCCCGTATTATTGGAAGGGATTTGCGTAGGAGTTGAAGTCATGTATACCCGCGATAGCGTACGTTAGTTAGTCTTTAGTTTCGTTTTGTAGCGCTAGCAATCAATCAAGCTGAAGTATCAGCACAGATCACGGGAGGACAAGTCGCACTTGCTTGCGCGCGTCGCCATTTCTCTCCTTCCACACAGCATCCATCGGTTCTGTTGAGCTTGTTTGATCAGATTGTTACATGTATCCAGATTTCGAAAAAAAAAAAAAAAAAAAAAAAAAACCTCCGTCATCCAGGAATTGCAGAATTGCAGAATTCCAGTCACTTGAAGCAACAACCTTTTTGCGTGGATCGCATATCAAGGGCTTCAGGCTGGCGAAACCCACATACAACAACAACAACGACGACTGGAGCCTCCATCTCCATCTCCATCTTCATCTTCTTACGTGTAAAATACCGATATGTCAAGGCTAGCAGACCTCCTCGAACGTAGCCTACCCTACTATTATCCACCCCCCCCCCCCCCCCCCTCACAGGTATCAGAGCCATTCTCTCTGCCCTGCCACACGCCACGAGGCGAGGCGAGGCAACTCAAACCAAGAGAGAGAAAAAGAAAAAGAAAAAAAGAACTCAAAAATATCCTCAAACCCCTCCTCCTATCCACGAAATTCGATCATGACTAGGACAGAGTCGCACAGGTCGGAATGCCCCCCCCAAGAAAAAAAAAATCTTAAACAAATTCACAAAAGCCCCTTCCTTCTTATCCATGAACATGAAAAATCGATCTTGATCATGATAAGCACAGTCACCTAGATAGAATGCGAAAGAAGAAAAACAAAAAGCCAACACGTTGCTCCCTCCCCCGGGTGGGCTTGAACCACCAACCTTCCGGTGAACTGCTTTCTCGTGGGAGAAGTAACAGCCGAACGCGCTAGCCAATTGCGCCACGGAGGAAATTTTTTCAAGTTCCCGAGTCGTGCTCGGTTGATGGGTCGAGGGCACGGCTGGCAATTCATATAGCTTGATCTTGCGACCCCGAAGTTGTGCCGGCATGACGCGACTTGGCACTCGCTAAATGTAGGCTTGGGCGTGGAGGGGGCACCCACTTCAGGCCAAGACGCGTGCACGATTGACAGAATGACATTGAGATCGAATAGGTTTGATTGATTCATCCCGTTCGTTCCGATTGCTGACCTACACCATGAGATCATGCATCATCTCCAGGTCCCTCCTGACACGCCGACGAGGTCTCCCACTCCCTCCCGCTTGCGCAACAACCTCGTCAAAAGTCCCATTACCTAGACCCCGATCCGTCCTTTCAAACGTCAAGAGACCGCCGACCGTCTCGTCGCCATTGGCGACCACAAGCTCACTTCCTCCATCGAGCAATGCCACGCCTGCGATGGATCCAAAGAATCGAATCTCTTGCCAAGCATCAAACTTTCCGGCGTCATACACCTTCACTACATCGTCATTCTCCGCAATCACGAGCGCGCCATTGTCCGTGAAATTGAGCGATCTCGCGCAAGACATGGTGCTACCCAGTGTGCGGACCGGCTTGCTCCAGTTGCGCGCATCCCAGATGGCAGTCCTACCATCCTCGGCGGCGGCAGCGACATGCCTCCCGTCTTGCGACCAGTCACATGCAAAGCAGTTATCATCAAGATCGTGAAGAGTGACAATTGGATGTCCGCGATCGCTATCTACAATAAGCACTTCCGAGCTGTCGCCTGCAAGCACTCGCAGCCGACCATCGGGTGATGTAGCAGAGGCATTAATTGCGTGGTCGTATGAAAACTCGTTGGTGAATCGCAGACTTCGCACATCCATGGTTCGCAACTTCCGGTCGTTAGAGCAGAAGGCAGCTCGCAGAAGTCCAGAACGTCGATCTGCAAAGCTATGTATGTGAGTGACCAGGCCGTTGAAAGCATGCGTGACAAACCCTTCTTCCGGTCGCTGGCTAGCACCATCCAGATTCATCAGCGCATACTCGCCGCCGACACCACCGGCGATGAGCACACTGTCTGCTCCGGAGGCGAGGAGTTGATACCGTGGCGAAGCCGACAGGCAAGTAACGTGGAATGTCGCACCCGGACAGAGAGGTTTGGCAAGATCCATCACTGTCTCTGTAGTGGAAGGACAGGCAAGCGACGCCCGATTGACCGCGGTCCCGGTGGAATACAAAATCTCATTTCGACTGCTGGCTGCGAGGACGTTGCGTAATTGGTAGTGATTGAACTTTGCTTTAGGGTTTGGTAGAAAAGACCTGAAGCGGTAATGTCGTTCAGCTTCATGTGACGCTGGTCTGGGTCTGGGTCTTGGTCGCTGGCTGGGCACTGAATGCGTGCCGCTAGCTGATGGGTGCAGCAGAGCACGCGCAAGAGCTGCATGAGTTCTTGGCGATCCGATCAATTGCCAATCGATCCCCTGCATGTCTACCGAGCCAGCATCAACCCGCTTCCGTGTGATCTCTGATTGAGATCTTCCGATTCTGACAGATGGTTGCAGACCTGGCTCGAAGAGGGGAAGGCTCGGATCGCGCATTGAACGTAGCCTCCATTTGTCCATGAAGTCGGCAAAGTCGTAGTTTCGGCGTGGATCATCCACTGGCAAGCCTTCAAGATTGAGGAACATGTCGTCCGTGGTCTCGTCGCTCAAGACAGCAGAGTTGTGTCCTGGTGCCACACTGGTAGGCGAAGGTGTCGGAAGACGGGTCGATGTCATTGGACGTGGACGATTGCGTGAAGATTGCCGGAGATCCGTGGTAGATGAGCGCACGCGCACACTATCTTGCCGGCGGGGTGCGGCACTATTACGAGCTCGGTGGAAGTCGAATTGAGGCACTTCCTGAGGGCCATCGCCATCGAGCGCGAGCCGCAGCCTCCGGCTGTCTTCTTCCATCCACAAGTCGAGTGTCTCTGGCCTCGGACGTGCTAGCCTCAGATTGCCGGGAGAGCCAGATGCTGCAGTAAATAGAGGTTGTTGGGAGTCCAGCTCCTGTTGGTAATTCGCATCAGGGATATCTGTGTCGGTCGTGGTATGTACATTGGGGAAGGAGGTATATATTTCTTCATCGCGGCAAGTGTCCGGATGCGGGAGAGGAACGCCGCCGTCATCATCTTCTCGGTCATCATCGTCTTGGTCGTCGTCGTCGTTGTGCAGGGCCTTTTGAGCGTCGCAAGAGATCAAGTCGTTGGGAGTTGCGGATGCGGGAAAGGGGGAACCCTGAGCAAACATGGTTGCATTGGTGGGACAGAAGACGGGCTCTGCATATCGGGCCAGACAGGCTGTTGCGTTGAACATATCGGAAGTGGCAAGCCGTCTCCGTTTCTTCTTGATACTCGAAGGGTTCTTCACCGAACGGCGGGCCTTGTGCAGTGGCGTAGAGGTCGACGGGGTACTGGAGTAGAAGACATGCCCTGTGGTCATGTGCGCGGGTGCCGGGAAGGACAATGGAGTGGCAGCAAGCGGTCGTTCAATTGCGCGGACGGACAAGGAGATGTGCTTGGTGTCGTGGTAGATGCAGCAGACCAGTCAATAATGAGCGAGAGAGCGGGTCGGAAGATGGAGGGGTGCAATTGAATGGAAGCAACCGAGGATGCGCGAGCACGGGGCAGGGCGGGGCCAATGCGGAAAGCAGCAGTGCGTTCGCAGATGCGCGAGAGATCAGGGCAGTGAGGCGTGATGTCAGCTTCAAGGCTGACTGTCACAAAGGAGAGCAGGACAATGGCATCTTTCGCCCCGATGTTGTCGGGTGGAGGGTGATGGAAGCATATGACCGACTGAGGATATTGGATGTGTGATATGATGGATCGCCGAGGGTGGGAGGTGGGAGGTGGGAGGGGCGCTAGAGAAGCTGTGCGGCCGAATGCAACAGCAGGGGTGGGCACTGACGCCGGGCAGGGGTGGAGGAAGTAGGTACAGTAGCAGACCCGCAGCGGGGAGCGGAGCGGGGAGTGGGGAGTGGGGAGGGGGAGGGGGAGGGGAACCTGAGAGACTCGGAGGGAGGGGGAAGGGAACCTGAGAGACTCGGAGGGAGGGGGAAGGGAACCTGAGAGACTCGGAGGGAGGGGGAAGAGGGAGGTGGTGATGAGCTGCTGAAGAAACATGTAATGATCATCCGATGGATGGTTCGATGATGGATGCTGTGCTGACACGCGAGATGGGTGACACACGCTACCGTACAGTACATGCTACACAGGCTACAGCTACATCCGCCCACGACTGACACCACCGTCGACCCCGGTCTTGTGCCATCGCTCTCTCCTCGACTGAATGAATGGATGGATATCCGAATGGATGAATGAAGGCACCCGCCGCTTCCGTTCCGGCCATCCGCAGCTGTCACCTTCCACGCCGGCGATGCTCTTCCATGCGACGCATCCTCCCTCCACGCTCGCCACTCGCATCCAATCACACAATGCACCTCCACCTGCATACCGACGGGAGCCTCGGACGACGAGCACAGAAGGGAGAATGCACCCTTTCCCATGCGCCTGTTCTGTCGCACGCAATCTCTACCTGCTCGCCAATCACCTCCGCTCCCCTGCCCGACCTCGCCTTCGCCTTCGCCACGCACCATCGCAACGGTTGCTCTCTCCAACTCGCATGCCCGTGTCGCACCTCGTGAGTCGTGCCACACCACGGTGCGAATGCATGTCGAATCTTGCCACGCTCTCGCCACCTTCTCGTCCGCCTGTCGTGCCCTTCCACATCAGGTCACCACTTGTCTTCGAAGCGTGGGAGAAGCAGGTACCCTTTCTACTCTCGGCCTACATCAAGTCACCGACGACAGCTCTCCGTAAAACGCATGCAGCTTCAAGCGACTCGTGCTACCACCAAGGCAGCATCATGCTCCTCCGTATCTTGGACAGGTCCAGTCGCTCAAGGCAATTCGTACTCTGCGCTAAAACAGCTATCCCGCGATAGCGACAAAGACAGCCCTGACCTTGTACGCCCTTCACTTCTTCGCATTCCAGGCGGTGAGTCTGCTTCAATGTACCGTCTGACTTTCACCTCTCACGCTCTTCGTTGCTCCCACGGTAATAGCACGCTACGGGTATCGTCGCTCACGTTCGCTTGCAGCAGGAAGGAACGATCAGGAAAATCGTGAGTCGCTTAAAAGATCCAAACAAGCTAGCGTCGGTTTCACGTGGGAGACGCGCAAAGCCGGCTTTGCGAACTCGCTGCCTGATCACGTGACTTCATCAACCCATCAACCGCATCGACTCCATCACTGACCATGTTCTCATCCAAGACACAGACATACGAGCTCTTGACTCCACGCAATCTCGGTTCTCAATCAACGCCACCGAGAGACACACTCGAACAAGACTTTCGGGTGCCCACCGCTTGAACCCACCATGGCTTCACCGTCAGCTCCCAACGACGTCTGGCTCATAGTTCGGGGTCATCTGGATATTGACACGTTTCTGGCGTTCCGCCTGACATGTCGAAAGTACTACGAGCTCATAAATTCTCACATGACTGGCCTCACCGAAGCCGTTGCAGCTTCCACATTCCCCCATCAGACTCGCATCCTCCAGCATGACTGCTCGCGAGGCTTGAGCTCTCCAGCAATGAGCCTGAGTTGGCTCAAGGGTCGGAGGCTCCAGCAGTTGACCGCGATCGTGCTCGAGTCCAACAGGGAACGCGCAATCATGGCTGAAGACCCACTCGGAGACGAAGCCAGAGCACAGCGTGTCGCGGGATGGAAGATACTCCTGCGGCTTCACTCGATCGAACGAGAAGTGCAAGGTCTCACGACGGATGAAATCTTGAGTATCCACCTTCCGCAAGAAGATGCAGACCCGGAGGAAGTGGACATCTCCGTGCGGATTTCCAGGATCAAGGAAGTGGAGATCTGTCGGAGACGCTGCTATTTCATCAAAACGCTCTCCTTTGATGACATGTGGGCGTACCATGCGCTCAAAGATTTCATCCAAGTCGAAGTTCTCGGGTATCCTTGGCATGAACCCTGGAAAACGGAGCCGGGAACACTAGATCTGGAGTCCTTCCCTTGGGTATGGCAGCAAGTACTACATGATGGTCCCGACATATTCTGGAAAGTCTGGTGGTCTCGCGGAAGCACAGGCGCTGACGACACTCTGCCGATCAAGCACAAGTATGAAAAGAGTTGGAGGGATCGGGATCCCTCAAGCACTCCAAGCGCACGAGACGCCGCGCGGGTCATGGACCGCACGATCGGCAGAGTGCTGAACCGTTACTTCGGGTCGCTGAGCACTATCCACGGCCGGGACTATACCCTCCCGCAGATGCCCGGATCCCCGGGACCAGGCATCGAAGAACGTCGGCGCTGGATGGAAATCGGCGAGCCCACGCCAGGCCCTACATTCGCGGATGTGTCGGTGAAGCAGACTCTGAGCTGTCAGATCATGGGAGAAGCTCCATGGCTCGAAGAGGGCGGAGAGGATGGGGCGCGTCGGCGGAGGCGCAGATCAATGCACTGTGGTCCTTCGTCAAAATACCCCATGCCCTCTCTGAACAGGTACATAGCTCTCTGGAAGGAGCTCCGGCTCTGTAGGAGACCACTTGATGGAAACAAGCGATCCCGTCCACGGCGCCCGCCGTCCCCTCCTCCTCCTCCTCCTCCTATGACCCACGGCTCTTCTCCTCCAATGCCCACATGTGGAAAAGGGCCAGATTCCCTTCCCTTTTCCCTTCCTCTCCAAACACACTTCCCGCTCTAGAAAAATTCCTCTGACACATGCGCGGCGCACGGCCAAGGATCAGACCTACCGGGTACCTCGCACCCTTGTCCTTCCTTTTTTTCCCCCAATACAGCGAAGCCGAAGCCCCATACCGTCCGTCCGTCCGTAAGGTAGCCGATGTGGCCGCCGCGCCCGCCGCGCCCTCCTGGAGACGTCGTCTGCCACGGCACCAACTCGCCCATTAGGGCCTCAAGAAAAGGCCCTCGTGCGGCGGTGGTCTGAGTCTGAGTCTGAGTCTGTGTCTCGGGGAACGAAAGCAAATGAGTCTCTGGCTTTTCTTTCCTATCGCTTGATAACCCGGAAACTTGTGTATTGGCTTTCTTTAATGATTGTCGATCGATACGGGAGGGGAGGGGGGGGTCCTGGGTTCATTCATTCATTCAGGCAGGCAGGCAGGCAGGCGGGATGCCGACTCGGGAGGCGTGGGAACGGTCGTGCGGATCGGCGGCAGGCGGAGGAGGAGGGATTCGAACGCGAACGGGTTGAAATTATTGCAGGGGTCAGACAGAGTCAGGAGCAGGAGATTTTTGGTGGAGTATCGGTGATGCATGCAAAACAAAGGGGGTTGGGTCTGGCTGCGAGGAGGGAAAATTTTTGGCGCAGAGTAGAGGGATTCGTGTGTGATTGATTGATTCAGTTGTCGAGAATCAAGGTGTCGAGTTCGGTGGTGGAGGTAGGAGAGGACAATGAGCCCTTTTCTTTGCTGCGGGGGAGTATATTGGCCAAGAAGATACCCTGGAGCAGAGAAAGTTGGTAGTGCCCAAGAGGCGGGACGTGCGGTGAATATTGACAATCGCAAAGGATCGGAAGGAGCTATTGGAACTTTTTCGGAAACGTCTGGCAGTCCAAAGGCGATGCTACAGGAGGCGTTTAATGGCAAACTTCATCCATACGCGAATCCCGTGAGACTCTTCTGATACGCCTCAATGATCTCTCGTGTCTTGACCAAAACACCAGCCGAGAGAGTTCTGACCCTCGTTTCGTCCTCGCTTCCTTCCGTAATAAGCGCTCCACCGCCCGTGCGCTCGAAGACGAGATCGACCCACTGCTGCGTCTCCATCAACTGCTTTGGGGTCTCTTGGACGATGCGTTGCTTGGCGTCGCTGTTGACCTCCAGGAGCGTGAGGAGGGCGAACAGGACCGCCTGCAGAACGCTGATGTCGGAGATCGCCTGCACTCGTAGCGAGAGGAGCAGATCCCAGAAAGCAGCCGTGATTTCGGCGAGATCCATCGTGGCCGGGCCAGAGGCGTGGAGCAGCAAGGCGAGGGTTTTGAGGAAGGTGACGAGGAGGAAGGAGGCAGAGGCGAAGACGCTCGACTGGCCGTAGGCGGAGATCTCCTGCTGATATCTGCTGAGCAGAGGGAAGAAGAAGCCTGAGCCGAGGATCTTGGCCAGTTGATTGGGTGCGGGTTTTCGCTTGGTACGTTCGACGGCCATGCGGCTGGAGAATGTCCGGACTTTAACGGCGTCGAGGTGAGAAGTGGTCTTGTCGGCGGCAGAGAGCGCCAGTGGCTTCATCATCTGATGTTCAACATTCTTGCTCGCCGCTTCCAAGCGTTTCACTGACGCATTTGTAGGGCTATAGATGGCGTGGAGGTGGCTTGGAAGACGTCTGCTTGGGAAGGATGTGGCACTCGATGGTAGAGTAGGGTTGAGCGAATCTTGATCTTTGAACCCTGCGAGCTCTCTACCACCCAAGCCAAGAGCACTGAGCATGATGCAGCGCTGAGACAATGAGTAGTCTCCAAAGAAAGCCTGCTTGCTTAGCCATGGCGCCATTGTATCAACATCGCTCAGTAAGATGGCAATGAGCGCTTGGAGCTTGAGCTCATCGAAGTCGTCTGTCTGGAAAGGGTCTTGCAAATCACACAAAATCAAGGCAATCTCTTCCGCGTGGTCTTTGACTTCGCCGCCGAAGTGGGTCTTTCTTCTGATGAGTGCCGACGCATGCCTGATGCCCATCTGAAAGCGGTCATGGTTTTGGTCGTCTTTTAACATGCGCATCAGATCGCGAATGTAGACCGGAGCTCGGGACTTGTTTCGGTTCACAAGCGTCGCGTCCTCATCACTGTCTTCCGGGTCACTATCGGGCTTCGCATGCGGTTTGAGATCTTCGTCTTCGTCGTCGTCTTCCCCATCGTCGAAAATCTCGGCAATCTTCTCGCCTATGACTTCTGTTTGGGCTGGTGCAGGAGGCCGGAGAGGTCCAAATGTCTGCTTGCCGTCTACGACTGGAAGCCTTTTGGTCGGAGCCCTCTGTTGGATCCTCTTTTTACGTATTTGTGGTACCTCCTGCAGCTTCACCAACTTCTCAAGGTCCTCCAGACGGCCAACTTCATCCTTGATGTTGACAAGTTCCAGGTACCACTTGGCTTCATTTGTCTGCATATCTTCGGTCCCAAAGCTCATTTTCGAGCCTCCTTTATCAACCAAGCTTGAAAATGCAGTGCCACATATCATGCCCAGCCACCGAGCTTTGGAATTGGTACTATCAAGTCGACTACTAACGCCCTGCATGTGACTCGATGACCGCGCAGTCATGAGCACGGCTATTGGAGTCGTTCGGTGAAGGTAGCCAGCAGTTAGTACGATTACCTGCGCCATGGCTTCTTGCTGCAAAATGGGCGTGTGGTTGATGAACAGAGTACCACCGAAGGTTGTCATCAGCTTCTCAAGAAGAGGCTGAAGATCATCCGCAGCAATGCTGGAGAGCACAACAATGCAAGCTCGACGAAGCTCAAAAGTCATTGCAGTGAGAAGCGTGCAGTCGCCGAGGAATTCAATCAACAGCTGCTTGAGGGACGCATCCGAAGCACAAAGAGATGAAATCAGTGCAGCTTGTGCAGACACTGCTGGCTTGCTCTTACTCAATTCTTCAGCTCGCCGTTCGCATTCTGGATCATAGACTGTCGAAAGCCACCGGAGCGTGTTCTCAATGAGTTGCCGCTTGCCATAAGATGGAAGGAGCCTCACTAGGCCACAAAACGATGCATTGCCATCCTCACCATGCGAAATTCGACGAATGAATTGGATGAAAAGCTCTTTGACGAGCGGGACTGGGTAGCCAAGACTGAGAGACTTGGCAAGCAATTCGGCTGCGAACTTGTCGGCTGCAGGTACAACGTGATCATCACGCCTTGTCTCCATCAACAGATGGGCAATGTTCCTACCCAGCCAGGCCGAGAAGCCAGGACCATTGGAGAGCCACATGGGTTTCGCAACTGTGTCGTCTCCCTTGAGGACATCCTCGGAGCGTGCAGCTGTTGAAATGATTTTGCCAGAGCCGACAAGATTGACGAACTCCTTCCACAACATCGACCGTTGCGTGTCGTTGGTACTGGCACGAGAGAGGCCCGACCAGATCGTGTGAACGAAATCGTCCCCAGCAAATATTGATTCTAATACCTGCAAGAGATCTCGCAATTCCACGATGTTGGTGGAGGTGGTTTGCGAGTCGCACAGAAGTCTCATTCGTGCAACGACTGCATTGGCGCCGGCAACGCTGCGAAGGCAGCTCGCAATTAGATCTCTGTTTTTCTCCGTAAAAGCATGCCAAAAGGTTGGCACAATCCTCCCGACGATGCTGCCAATGATCTGCGCCTGAAGGGGCCCTGGTATTCGGATGTCGAAGTTTGCGGAGAAGCCTTCCTTGGACCGCAGATTTCTCAAGGTGCGGATCAGACTGTCTGGATCCGGCTCACTCTTGAGTAATTGGAGAGCTTTCTCTGGCGTATCGCAAGACTCCGATGTCCTTTTCGTGGCGGATGAACCCTCGTCTCCTTTGCTTGATGATGTCGCAACAGTTTGCTCGACATCCTTGCGGGCGGGCTGCGAAGATATCTCCTTGAGGGCCGGCTCCGCCTGTTCATCTGCAGTGTTCTTGTGAACGGTCTTTACGGCCGTCAGGAAGTCTTCCATGGCCTCTGCTCGGACACATGATCTGGTGATGGCAGTGGATGATGTTGGGTTTGGTTGCTGGGTGAGATGCGACTGGAAGTGTTAGTAATTGTAGCCTGAGGCATCAAGTGCTTTCAAGATATTGATTGAGTTTCATTGACATGTGGGGCCGATAAGGTGATAAGCTTTCGCTGCACGCCAACCACGCCTGCCTGTCTGGCACTGTGTCCTGGGAGCTCTCCACCTAGCTTCATCCAACGCGAAGTAAACCTCTCACTTTCTCCAACATCCACGCCTTCTCTCGCCAGATTCACCTACGCCATGGCAGCAGCGGCCACGGTGCAGCAGCCGGGCGTCAACGGCGAGGCCTCCCGAGCACGATACAAATATATGGACTACATCCTCGACAGGCCAGGAACCGACACGGAGGATTTGGGCTTCACGCCAGGTGCTGAAGTCAAGGAATCGCTAGAAAGATGCAGAGTACTGGTGATCGGGGCTGGAGGACTCGGTTGTGAGATCCTCAAGAATCTGGCATTGTCCGGATTCAAGACCATCGATGTCATCGACATGGACACAATCGACGTCAGCAACCTCAACCGTCAATTCCTTTTCCGACAGCACGATGTAGGGAAGCCCAAGGCGCAAGTGGCCGCCGACTTCGTGATGAAGCGGGTGCCTGGCTGCACGATCAATGCATACGTTGGCAAGATTCAGGACAAGGACGAGGACTACTACAAACAATTCAACTGCGTCATTTGTGGCCTCGACTCCATCGAGGCTCGGCGCTGGATCAACTTCATGTTGGTCGGAATGGTGGATATGAGTGACCCTGATACGTTCAAGCCACTCATTGATGGGGGCACGGAAGGTTTCAAGGGACAAGCACGTGTCATCCTCCCAACTATGACTTCGTGCATCGAGTGCCAGCTGGATATGCATGCTCCCCGCGCCGCTGTGCCTCTCTGCACTCTCGCAACGATCCCACGTCAACCTCAGCATTGTATTGAGTGGGCGCACATCATCAAATGGGAGGAGGAGCGTAAAGACATCCAGCTCGACACGGACGATCCAGAGCACATCACATGGCTCTACCAAACCGCTCTCAAACGTGCAAAGGAATTTGGCATCCAAGGTGTCACGTACAGCATGACTCAGGGTGTTGTGAAGAACATCATTCCGGCGATTGCTTCTACCAACGCCATCATCGCCGCCGCCTGTTGCAACGAAGCCTTCAAGATTGCCACGAGCTCTGCAGGATTCCTAGCCAACGTGAACTCCCTTCCAGACGGAGTCGATCCGGAGACGTATGATCCGAGCGAGGAGTTTGCGCCAGTCGTCAACAACTACATGTTATACACTGGTGATGCCAGTGTTTACACGTACACGTTCGGCCATAAGAAGAAGGACGACTGCCCTGCTTGTGGTAACCAAGCAAAGCAATTGTTCGTTTCGGGCGACAGCACTCTTGGAGAGTTCGTCGAGAGTCTAGCCGAGCGGCCGGAAGCTCAGCTGAAGAAGCCAAACTTGCGTACTGAAGAGAAGTCGCTGTACTATTCCAGCCCGGAGAGTCTGAGGGAGCAGACTGAGCCGAATCTGAAGCGTAAGCTGAGCGAGATGCTGGAAGACGGAGAAGAAGTCGCCATCAGCGATCCCGCATTCGCGATCGACTTCCGCTATAAGATCTCCTTTTCGTGAGCATCTATCATGAGCATAAAGGGATGGTAATGAAAAGAACAATGATTTGCTTGCATAGCGATGGGCCTTTGACGAGAAACCACGAAGGAGACGATGTGATGATGACGATTATGATGATGAAGTGCGTGTCTACCAACCACAGCCGCTGGCTCGGTGGAAGATCGCATCCGCTCTCACACAGGCAGCTATCTACTGAGGCGCGATACATATACTTCTTGGCCGGAGTCACGAGGTTCCATGTACAGGCGGAAGCACCGGCTAGTGTACCCACCTGTCTACAGGGCCCATAGAGCGCTCACTCTTGAGCACGTCCCACAACTCTAAAGTAAACAAATCTCTACGCGTCCTTTCCGTCTTTACGCTCTATACACAATCTTCGACGACGTAAGTCTTCCTATTCCCTGTACCTACCGTCAGAGGCAAAGGGGTGCCGCCCGCGAAAGGCGAAACAATAATTTCCCAATGCTAACACGTCGAGTGAGTAGACTCGGGGTATATACTTGAGCGCAGCTCGACAGGTAACTTGTCGCCTCAAAAGATAGCCACGTCCGGATGGCCGACGAGAAGTCAGATGGAATCGGAATCTTCCGCTTGTTCGACCTCCCAGCAGGATTGCGGGACTGCGTATATGACCACCTCACCACTGAAATCCGTCGAGAGGCTGTACAAGGCTATATGGCAGGTTGCCATTCGGTGCGTCGATACACGTTCTACCAGAATGGTCTCGAAGTGAAAATGACGTTCTGACTTGTGTCATTAACGATGATTTGTTCTTCAATCCCATAAAAAGCCAACCCATTTCTCCCACCCTGTCTTCTCCGGCTCCGGCAGCTCCGGCTTCCTTTCCATCTCCTCCAGTGCCTCCCGTAAAGGTATGTCATCTAGTTTAACCAATTTGGTCTTCTTGAACACTTTCCAGAGAACGAAAGCTGTGAGCACGAGTGGGATGTCTAGGTAACTGGAAACAAACCCACTGCTGGACCAGTTGCCTTTCGTGAAGACATTGAAACCCGACGTCAGGAGGATGACGACGCAGAGGACAAGCGCCGTTGGAGTGGAGAATTTTGTCCATGAGTTGTGCCATGGAAGTAGCGAGAGCGGGATCTGTTGCTTTTTGAAGGCCATGAGCAGACGTTGATGATTGGTCAGGATGGTGATCCAGGATATGAGCACTCCGCAAGCAGTGAGATCCACGAACCAGTAAAAGACAGTCAGGGCCCCGCCGCTTAGCGACATGAATGCCAGGAACATGAAAGCGGTCTGGACGATGACGCAAACGTAGGGCACGCCCCAGCTCGTCGTTCGCAGGAGAATCTTAGGGGCTTGGTTTTTCAGAGCGAGAGCATAGAGGACTCGAGTGCCTGCGAGAAGAGCTTGATTGCTGGAGGACCATGCAGAAGTGATGACGACGGCATTCACCACGGATGGTATGGCTTTGATTCCAGCTGCTGAGGCGGCGATGACGAAGGGCGACTGTGCTGCTGTCCCTGAGGAGTCGTTGAGACGAGGGTCGTCTGATGCGACGAGCATTCCGACCACCAAAACAGAGAGGATATAGAAGAGAGCAACTCGCACGAAGACCCGTTTGCAAGCTCTTGGAATGACCTGTCTCGGATTCCTGGTCTCTGCCGCAGCCATAGCAACCGACTCTGTTCCGGCGAAGGAGAAGACAGCAGAGCTCATGCAAGCCCAATAGCCTAGGAAGTTGCCCCATGATCCAGACGCGATGTATTCGACAAAAGGACCGGGAGTCTTCCAGTAATGGAAGCCAAGTCTTGGAACACCTGGGATACCTCCCAGATTGATCACGAGTCCCAGAATGATGAGGAAAATGATGAAGAAGATCTTCAGCAAGGCGAACCAGAACTCCACCTGCTCCTCGTATTAGCACATGCCTCTACTCTTTCAAGGCGTAGCCGTGGTCTTACCTCTCCATATACTCTCACCAGACTCATGCCCACAACAAAGGTCATCGCAATAACCAGCACAATCCATACCGCACTGTTGATATCCGTCCAATACTGGAATAATACACAGATCGCCGAAATCTCCGCCGGGACGCTCAGCCAATTTCCATACACGATGTTCCATCCGATGGCGAACCCCAAAGCTGGATCCACAAGAAATTCCGCATGCCGTACGAAGCTACCCGTCACAGGGAGCAGGGCAGTGACTTCTCCCAGCGCGAATTGAACAGAGCAGACGATAAGTCCCACGGTGGCGTAGCCTAGGAGAGCTCCGAGCGGACCAGCTATCTGAATCGAAGAGCCTAGACCGAGGAAGAGGCCAGTCCCTATTGCGCCTGCGATGGCGATGAGGGAGATGTGGCGTTGATCTAAGCCTCGCGAAAGATCTTGTTCTTCGTGTCGGGTCACGAAATCCGCATTTTCTGCGTTTTGAGGTTGGGAGGATGGAGTGGCGGGATTGAAAGTATTGTAATCTTCCGCTCCAACTTCTATTACCGGGCGTTTGCCGTTGCTGCTGTCCTGTTGTTCGCCCATGCTGTCGATTTTTGGTTTTACGAGAGGCGTGGTGCTGGTCACCGACTGGTCGCTGTGGCGATCATCATGTCGCCGATGAGCTGACATCGACCTGTTTATGAATCAATGGACATTAACCGAGTTCATTACCGCCGCTCAGAGATAAGGCCACGACATGGGATGATGGCGTGCCGTCGGCTGCTCAACCGGTGCGATTTGGTGAGGTTTAGCAGCTTTCGTGTTAGGCAATTAAAGTGGAGACATTTTGGCCTGAGGCACTGTACATTTCAGTGTGATATCGAAGCTGTGCTGGGGCAAAGGCCATGATTCCAATGATACAGCAAATGTAAGGACGATCATAATGGGTTCGATGCGCGTGAAAGCAAGAGATGATAACGTGATGTGTCGTTTCGCGTGATGCTTTTTTGAATTGCTGGCTATCAAAGTGCCCAGCTGAGCTCAAACTGCAGCTCCTGCTCCCATATAGCAGTGCCAAACTCGTCGCCTGCGTGACTGAACCATTGACGCCATGCTTCCTCTGAATAGATGCAAAGGCCAAAGCCTTCCCGGTGCGGAGTAATCCTCGCTTATGCGACAAGGGTGGAGGCGGTGGCGCTCTCGTATCTCCAGGTTGGTGGGAGGGCGCCGACGGTCTTGTAGTAGCGGGAGAGACGGTGGATACGGGACTCGATCAGAATAAGACGGAACTTGCTGTCCTTGTCCTTGCGGTTGCGCTCGAGGTGCTTGCGGACGGCAACGGCCTGAACATGAATATGTCAGGTCACATCCCGCCAATTTTGCACAGAAGCAGTTGTGACGTACCTTCTTGATCAACATGTAGAGGTCCTCTGGGATCTCTGGTGCGAGGCCTGTTGAATCACTCTGTCAGTCTGTGACCAAGCAGAGGCATAATGTTTGTGCGCGCGCATGTGCAGCGCCATTTCTGTCCAATCTCTTGCAGACTTCGGTATCATGATACCAAAAGTCGCTGTATACCATCTCTTTACACAGGGAGTTCGAGGTGCGGACTAGGCATACCTTCGGACTTCAGGATACGAAGGATCTTGTTACCTGCGCGCAAAGTCAGTATCCAAACTCATGCTCCAAAATTCGTCTCCTCACGTACCAGTGACGACCTTGACCTGAGCAACACCGTGGGAGTCACGAAGGACGACACCAATCTGCGAAGGGGTGGCACCCTTTCTTGCGAGCTTGCAGATCTGGTCAACGACCTGGTCGGGGGTGGTCTTGAGCCATGCTGGCGGTGCGCGCGAGTATGGGATGGCGCTGTCGGATATACCCTTTCCGTTGCTGTGAAGACGACCCATCCTGGCGGTGTTTAGAGCAGATGTTGTCTGGTGGTCGTGGGTGTGAACTTGTCGTGCGGCGCTGACTTCGAGCGATATGGTCTTGAGATGTTCCAGCCAGTGGAGGAAAATTGACGAGCAGCGTGGGTCTTGGCATTTGGGGTTCGGCGAGGAATCCGAGCTCCGAGGATTCGCCGACGCGAACCTCACCTGTTCACGACCATTCACTTTCGTTCAGCTCTCACATGAACCCGAAATCCCTCTTTCAGGACCGGAGAGCGACGTCTGGATCAATCGAAAGTATTGCGATGCCAGAGACAGCATCGACCCAGATATCGCTACGGGGCGACACGATGCGTTTCTTGTCTTGTACGGCAAGACTGTATTGTATCCTGCACTTAGGACATGAATTGCTCCGTGCAGAGCAGACACCCGGGAGTAGGCTTCATCTCCATTTGTATTGGACTGAAGCACCTAATTGGCGACCAAACAAATAGTAATGGGCTGACCGCCACAGATTTTCATCGACTGACCCTCCAAAGGGTGATTCGACTTTGTAAATGCCTTGAGACCCCTTCCACGGAACGTCACGGTTCATGTGCTGTTTGATCTGTGCGGACACGTCTTCTCGGGCCAAGGAATTGACGTGTGCCCTGACGTGCTTCTGATGTGCTTCTTTCAGAAGCGCCCAACGACCATGCAGCTCTTCACATGCTCGTCAGAAATGCAATTGCTTGGAGCCTTGCTACTTTCAATCTTTCTAATGTGTCCATCTACACAACAGATCTCTCATTGCGAATCGAACGAACACTAACACCATATCACATCCACTTATCACATCCACTGACTTGTCCATCTTTCATACCACACTCGCTGCAAAGTTGCACTCCGTCACTGCGCGAGACGGGTACCCAAAACGCACGATCGGTGGACATTGGTAGCTCCAGCGTCTGGAATATCTCACATTCCCGTGTTCTCGCCCTTCAATCATCATGGAGGTCCTTGTGCTATCTCTCGTCGCTTTCGCCGGCATGGCACTTGCTCAAGGTCCTACGACCAATGCAACCACGATCACGACTTCGACTGCCACGGCCAATGCAACCACGTCTTCCTCCCCCTCAACTCCGGCTTCGAGCAATACTACCACTGGCACATGCGTCGCTAGCACGTAAGTCGTCCGCGAATCTATCGTATAGTTCTGACTGAAAAGCATCTGACTCTCCTCGAAAGCTTCACCGGTTACGAGTCAGGCCTTCCTTCGCCATACGTAGTCTGCTCTTGTAACGGCTTTGAAGCCCAGCTCAGCACCACGACGGTCGAAGGGACCCCATATACCGTCTGCTCTGATGCACCGGAGATCACTGTCTCTGTGCCGGCGGCCAGCACAATGGCCCCGGCGATCACGACGTTCGGCAGAAAGATTGCCGCACTCAGACCAGAAGTTGCTCCGTCTTCACCGGCTAGCCAAGCTGCCAGCTTGAACGGACCAAAGTCTACCGGGGCCGCCGCTACGCTTGAGAAGAAGGTCGGCTTGGGTGGATTCATGGCCGCTCTGGCCGTTCTCTGAGCGCTAACACTGGTTCATGGCCACTGCATGTCGCTGCGACGTCATCTCCGCTCACGAAGCGACACTTTCATAAACATCAATAGCGAAAAGGTCTTGCTTTTTTGCGATTATTAGGGAGTGTTGTCAGATGTATTCGGAGTACCTCCTCAAATCTGGAAATCTTTCGCGAAGTAAAGGCTCTTCAGTAATTGGGACACAAACATCATCCCGGCGGAGCGAAGAAGGTTCCAAGACTACGTGCATTCTCCATTGATTTCGTCAAGCTCTTCCGGAGGCGAATTGGGATTGGCTTTCTTGAAATCACTCAGACTTTCCTAGTCCGCGGGAAAGTCACAAAGTATAGACTTCCAGATCAGATCTACCCCTGCTCAGTGCTTCATCCAGAAATGACGTATGAGAAGAGTTTCGAGTCTGATTGGGCGGATTGATCGTGAGAGGGTCGTACTGCGACCCAATAAGACTTCCACTGATGAGATCGTGTATATATGGAAGCCCGAGCTCACAGCCAGCAAGTTGTGCAAACGAGCCCAGAGGAGTCGCCCAGTTGGGGAATGAGACCTGTAGAGAGCCGTGTGATATGTTCGTCACTGGCACGGTCGGCACCGTGGCGTTTGGTGCACGAAGGCTGGTATTCGGCTCTGTAAAAGGCGATGACTTCTCGAAGTAGGGCAACAATCTTTCTCCGAAATGATTCGAGTCGTTGACAGCTTCCACCCATACCTTTACACTCCGAACAGTAGGTCGATTCTAGTTCATGGCGTTCTCTGCCGAGCAGCCACCGAGCATCTTTTCCCTCCTTTAATGCAACATTTGATTCATAGCCCCAGCGTGCGAGTCGGGAGTGATGTCGTCGTATTCTTGATTATACGCCAGCACCACAGAAGTGTTTCCATTTTCGAAATGGTAAAGGCAAGCGACTTCGATGACAGCGACGGAATTCTTGCCGTCTTCTGCCAGGCGATAGGCTATTGCCAGTACTCCAGTGCCTCCGCCGACTACAACGTAATTAATCGCAGGTACCTAGCGTTCTTGCCTGGCACGCCGAAGCGGTTTCCTGGAATGGATTGTTGACGGCCGGGAGCAGCATGCGATTCTACTTGGGTCAAGAGCCTTTGGGCAAAGAACGCAACTGCCAGCGGTAGTCTCGTATTTCAGAAGGGCAGTAATGTACTGTGAGAGGGTCAAATGAAGTGAGGGAATGGTCTCTTACAGTGCAGTGCAGTTAGTTAGAGTGAGTTTGAAGCACTGAACGTCCAGAGGGCGCAGCTAGTGGTCATGGTCGCAGCCGAACAGGGCCAGAAGCACAAAGCCTACGGGTGATATGATTCCATTCGATTCGATGGTGATGGATGAACCTGCAGGCGGAGTCTTTTCGTAGTGAACGGGTTCGGAAGAACCATTGATCCGGACACGCCACCTGTATAACCTCACCCCTTCTCTTCTCCTCTTTCACACCCAGCCCATGTTGGTGTATTTGGTAAGTCTTAGCACATGCGTTGTTTAAAGATCCCGCTCGTCCTATTTCCGTTCTTGGCCTCATTTCCGGGCCATGCCATTGACGGGCGCATTGTCGCGATCCATGACACTCTCGCCGTGACAGGGAAAGCCAACGAAAAAATGAGGAGTACCTACCAGGTAGACACGCTTCCCCGCGCGAGATCCTTGATGCCGTTCCATATGGAGTATGCAGTAGACTCGAACGGTTGTTGCTATAATGTGCCGATCTGCTCCTGAGTTGGAAGACTACGGTCACTCTCTTCACTTCGTTGAACGCTCCAGCAATCGACAATCATGCCCTTGTACGCCAAGCTTCCAGAAGATATTCGGGAGGTCGACGTGATCGTGGCTGGAGGCACGTTGATCCAGAAAGACGAAACGTGTACGACCTACTGAATGATATTTCACAGGTGGTACTGCAGGCTGCGTCACGGCCTCTCGACTCGCGGAAGCAGACCCCGACCTCTCGATTCTTGTCATCGAACAAGGCCTCAACAATTACAATGTCTCACAGGTCATCTATCCGGCCCTATTCCCTAGTAACCTGCTTCTGGACAGCAAGACTGCTCTGTTTTGGAAGGGCAATAAGTCCCCTCAGCTAGCGGATCGAGAGCCGATCGTTCCTTCTGGAGGGATTCTTGGCGGAGGCTCGTCCATAAATTGGATGGTGTACACCCGGCCGCAAAGGTCTGACTTTGACTCATGGAACATGCCTGGTTGGAGCGCCAATGAGCTTTGGCCATACTTGAAGAAGGTGTGATTGTCATAATCTGCTTTGTTGTGCTGGATACTTCCAGCAGCGCTGATTCCCTGGTGCAGTTTGAGACGTATCACGGCCGTGGGGAGCGCGAGCATCACGGTCATGACGGCCCAATCAATATTAGCAGTGGCACATTTCGCGCTCACCGTGCCGAAAACGACTTTATCAAGGCTGCCGCGACGATGGGGTATACGGAGCTGAAGGACCTACAAAACTTGGATGCGAACAACGCAACCGAGCGTTGGCTTCGCTATGTGGGTCCAGATGGGCGTCGTCAAGATGCGGCGCACAGATTCTTGCATCCCAAGCTGAACAGCGGGGGGTACCCGAATTTGCATGTCTTGGTAGAGCACCAGGTGGTCCGAGTCTTGTTCGATAGGAACAAGCGAGCTTGCGGTGTCGAGTATCAGCCAAATCCGAAGTTCATGTCGATGCTTGCGGATAGCAGCAAACGTACGGTCCGCGCATCCAAGATGGTCGTTCTTTCTGCCGGCGCCAACGGCTCTCCGCTCATCCTGGAGCGCTCTGGTGTCGGAGACCCGGAAATCCTGAAGCGTGCTCGTGTTCCGCTGGTCGAGGCGCTGCCCAACGTGGGCAAAGAGTATCAAGACCATCATCTGACTCTGTACGCCTACAGAACCAGTCTCTCTCATCGGGAGACTATCAATGGGTTCCACGATGGCCGTTTCGATATCCAGGATGCCATCCGAAAGAATGATGAGCTGCTAGGCTGGAACTCAATGGACGCGTCTGGTAAATTCAGACCCACGGAACAGGAAGTCGCTGCTCTTGGGCCAGCTTTCAAGAGAGCTTGGGACCGAGACTTCAAGGATGCAGCTGATAGACCACTGATGATCATTGCAATGTATCTGGCCTACTTCGGTGACCATGCCGACCTGCCAGATTCAGCAGAGTATATCTCCTCGGCCGCATGGACTGCTTATCCATACTCACGCGGGCATATCCATATCACGGGCCGTGAGACATCGTCTTCTGTCGATTTCGACGTTGGATATCTCAATGATGCAGGCGACGTGGACATTAAAAAGCACGTCTGGGCGTACAAGGTCCAGCGGGAAATGTTCCGCCGTATGAGCATCTATAGAGGAGAACTCGCTTCATCTCATCCGAAGTTCGCACCGAATTCCCGAGCAGCGGTAGTTGAGCGTGCGAATGGTCCTGTAGGCGCAGACGAGCCTCTCATTCAGTACAGCGCCGCGGACGACCGTGCGATCGAGCAAAACATCCGCGAGACTGTCTCCACCACCTGGCATTCCCTCGGAACATGCAAGATGGCCCCTCGAGAGAAGGGCGGCGTTGTTGATCAGAACTTGAGCGTATATGGAGTCAGAGGCCTCAAAATTGCGGATCTAAGTGTTCCGCCTGAGAATGTTGGTGCTAACACCAACAACACGGCGCTGACGATTGGGGAGAAGGCAGCCGATCTGTTCGTGAAGGAGCTTGGTTTGCGGGCTAGAATGTAGGCTGCGTGCGACATCCAATTCTTTGCTTCGAACATGTGGTCTGCACGTAGTCGTAGCCATGTCGAGCGGTGATCTTCACCGCGATCGTGTTCCCAACGCGCGTCCGAGGAATTGTCGAGTATCAGGCCAAATTTCGCCTGCAACGATCTTCCACTGTCGACTTAACCCCTACTACGGTGTTATTAGAGGCCCTGCGATGCTTTCCAGACCTTGTTGATGGCATGTTTTTCTTTGTCTCCTCGTGAATTCGAATTCAATTGTGGTGAAGCGTTGGAAACTAGTCCGAATCGAGCTAGCGCCGGCACAGCTCCGGCAATACTGACGCGCCAGGCTCTAGGGAAAGCTAGGAAAGCTGTCTTGTAGCATGTGAACTGCTTGAGAGGAAAGCCATTGCAATACCTTGGCGCATTGCATCCACCGGAATCTTCTCTTTCTCCCTACCTTTTCGCAGGCGGCATTCAAGACTTACGCGACGACCATGTCTTCAGTGGGAGCACACCAGAGCAGCAATCCCTACGAGCATTACGACGCGCCCTCCGTTGACGACGATCTAATAGATCCTGATGATGGTACAGCTTCCCAGATCGATTGAGACTCTTTCAGAACTGCACTGATGATATAGCGACCCTCGACGACCTCGAAGACCCGGTATCAAACTCCGATCGCGCTCCTCTAACCGGCCGCATCACCTCCGACCAAGCGAACCAGAACACCAGAGCAGCCAACAATGCACAGGGCTACCTTAACTCGGCAATGCCGGGAGAAGATCGCCGCGCTCCTCTCGACACACTTGATGAATCCGTATGGGATACGCTCAAGAGAGATCTACTTGCAGTCTGGGAGAAGATGAGGCAGGTGCTGTATCCCAAATACCTCCTGGGCGGAATGATGGCTCGCGATGGCGGGTTGGAGGGTGGAGAAGGAGGTGCAGCAAGAGCCCTAGGACAAGTGAGAGGGTTGGTTGGAAGATGGCCCGATGTAGACGAACTGTTGCAGGGTGGTATGAGCGAGGGCTTGAGAGATTGGGATCTCTGGTATTGCGTCCCCGATACGTGCGTGAGGAACAGAATACTGACGGCGGCGATAGGGGACCGCTACTATTTTGCTTGCTGCTATCTTTCCTGCTGAGCCTCAACGCGAGAGATGGCCAAAAGGAGTATGTCTTCAGCGGTGTCTTCGCGACAATCTGGATCGGAGAAGCCATTGTCACGCTGCAAATCAAGCTCTTGGGAGGCAACATGTAAGTCTTTTTCAACTGGTTGGCCTAGTTGGAACTGACCATGGTCGCAGTTCCTTTTTCCAATCTGTGTGCATCATCGGCTACACACTATTTCCACTGGTCATTGCCTCGCTGCTCAGCGCTCTCGGCATACCGATGATTGTGCGGATACCAGTCTACAGTGTTCTTGGCCTCTGGTCGCTCTCAGCCGGCGTGAGCATTCTGGGCGGAAGCGGAGTGGTCAAGAACCGAGTGGCTCTTGCAGTATACCCGTTGTTTGTGTTCTACATCGGCGTGGACTGCTTATGCTTCATTTCGTAGATTCTTCGATACCCGGACGAGTGAGGCACACTCGTACAGATAGTCAATCAACCCTTTTTAGTTTTTAAGCCGTCTCTCGGCCTTCGAGATGATTTGAGGCAGAAGAGCCTGGGAGAAAGCATGTGGATCTCGATTGCATCGATTCGATCTCCGTGTTATCTCGTGGATGTGGCATTGCGAGGAGTCGCAGCTCTTTGATTGCAGGCAGTTCGACGAAGATACTATGACCCGCGCAGATGCGGGTTCGTCATCTCGACACAGGCCCTATCGCCATTCGCGTCACGTTCAGCCTGTGTCGAACTGGCAAGAACATTCACTGGAGGCAGTCTGCGTGCGGTCAACGATGTGCTCCAGCAGGAAGTCACTGTCGCCACTGTGACCCTTCGATCGCCTAGGGTTTCGGTTTTATCCGATTTCTTCGATTCCGGTCCTGCCCTCGCTGCTAGCCATAGCACAGTCATCCCTCACAGAGACCACTAGCCAATATTGCGATCACATGATAGGGTTTTTGACATCTCGGCAAGATTCCTACTGACGGTGGCACCCCTAGCCGACGTGAAGTCTCTTCGCGAGTCTCGCGGCGCGGAGTTCCCATCTGGCAGATGGACACACACAAAAGAAAGGCAGGCGCCAAATAGAGACATCGGGTGAGTCGGGATACTTTTGAGGATATGCCCGTGTCGAGAGCCCGGGTTTGGAAAATCACGTTCTGTGTGTATACAGTTGAAAGATCCGCCATGGACCGGAACTATGGCGCAAATACGGAAAGACTTACTGGAGACTACTTCCACACACGAGAGACTCGAAAGCATATGCATCAGATGAGCACCAGAGACTTGGAAGGTTCGATATGAGGATCGAGGAAACTCTGGTACATTCGACCTGCGCTAATTCGCGCTGTAAAATTGTGGAAAGGCATGAGGAAGGAGTCTACTGGCTGCGACGGACCTGGATTCGATCACCTGCTTTTCGCGCTCATTACCGGCCGTACTGCCGCCTGCCGTCCAGAATGTAGCTGGTAGGAGCAATCGGGAGGCGTTAATGTCGAGCAGAGTTCCCAGGTACCTGCCATTCGCCTTTGGATCGATCGTACAAAGCATCGCCTTGGTGATGGCCGTGAGCACCCTTGTCAACACCACATCTCTGCACATCCCCGTGGAAAACTGTCAGCTCAAGCCACAGCTCGATATTGTATTTCGCGAGATTTACATAGTGTTTTCTTGAACGCCTTCTCGATGCTCTTGGTTGCGCAGCCTGGTTGCAATGCCAAGAGAATGGTAAGTCCATTCACCTTGTCTATGACTATGTACTGCACGATCTCAAACAAAGACCGAAACCAGCAGTCAGAATTTCCAATTTCGTCGCTTTGTCTAAGAGCTGGAATTCATGATGGACACCTCGTAGAGACACCTCATTTCCCTTAAGACAAAGACGACTATAATAGAAGCGGCCTCGAAAGTATGCTATGACCGCTAGACTTGTCGCCAGCCCTCACCCCAACGCCCATCACAATCCAACCTCTTCAAACCCATTCCTGTGCAGGTCGCAGGATTACCACAGATACCATTTTCTTACACGTCTCATCAGGACTTAAAATGGCTCCCTCCACTCGCAGGAACAGCCAATTGGCAAAGAAGATCGCCACCCTCCAACTCCGCCTCGCACCGCTTGTCTCCCTCCCAGCAGGCCCACCACATCCAGCTTTCCCCAAAACACTAATGGCATTCCACCTCCTCACCGAGGACGAACTAGACAGCATCGCACACTACTACCACCAATCCACCCCCGGCCCCTGGACAAACCACTACCCGGCAAACATGAACTGGGACAAAGCCTTCCTCGCCAAACCTTCTCCCATCACCACCACCACCGCCACCACAAAACCCCCTCCAACTCCTACCACGCCACGCCGTCAGAAGCAACAAGTAAGCAAAGACGAAAACGTCTGGCTGGAAGACCTGATGAAGACGGTGGAGGATCTCTCCGCTCCGGTGCCGGCGAGTCAGAGTGGCGGGGATCCGAACAATCCGTATGCTGGGCTGACGGAGAAGGAGCGGATCCGGATCAAGAGGAGGAAGGTGGGCAAGTTCATTGGGTTGGTGGGCATGGAGACTCCGGTGGAGGAGATTGCGGGGAGGATCCAGATGAGTCTTGATCGGGCTGTGGAGCGCAGTCGGGAGGAGTTGCGGAGGAACGAATTGGTGATGCTGCGGAGGAAGAAGATGGCTTGAATGTACAGATCGGGTTACCGTAAGCTGTGTGAGTGAGTGACTGGGGGCGGGGGGGCGAATGTGGATAGACCGTCGGCGATTAACATGTCCCTTGATATTATCTGCATCGAGAGTTCACAGCGTTTCCCGGAGAATATCGACATCCTCCCAGCCTTCTCCCTTGGCTTGGATTTTCATGCTCTCCAATACTCTCTCCTTCACCCGCTCATCTCGCACTTCCGTGCCCACAAATGCACCATGCGTGCTTGCGAAATCCAAAGGCTTCAGAGCTTGCCACATCTTGTACAGTTCCTTTGGCGGCAACGGGATCATATTCGGAATCGACCACATGAAGGCAAACGAAGTCGTGCCAGGCGGTCGGTCGACATGATACAGCGCACTCTATCCATCCCCCCCCCAAAAAAAACGATCAGTATGAAATAGAAACCTCGCTCCTGGATAATACTCACCGGAACAGTAACCAGCGAATCGGCAATGAACAATTTCCGATCCCACCACAAAACCAGACTTCCCGGGAAATGCCCGCCCACCTTGACAGCCTTCACCCCCTCCAGGACTTCCTCCTCCACACCCCCCAATAACTTCCTCCTCCCCTCAAAATCCCTCCGACTCACCCATCCCGCGTCCTCCTCGGCCAAGAGCACCGGACACGCAAACGTCCGTGCCCAATCCAGATGCGTCGTGTAGTAGTGCGGATGCGAAATGACAATGGCCTTCAAACCCCCCCGGGAGCGGATGAATTCGTAAGTTTCCTGGTCGAGATAGGCGATGCAGTCCCAGAGGATGTTGCCCGCCGGCGTCTGCAGCAGGATGCAGCGTTGTCCGATGGCGAATTTCGGCGTCGTGGTGATGGACCACATGCGTGCCTCGACGGGGTCTTGGTGGAAGGTGTTGCGGTGGTGCTTGCTGCGTCGCATTTGGGCGAGGGAGGTCCATGCTTGGCCTGTGGGAGGGACGAATTGGCGGGGATCCTGATGGGAAGGGGTTTTAGTCTTCAAGTGCTTTGGAGTAATATGGGGTGTGTTTGATACATCACAGATACGGCATGCTTTCAGGGGCGTGGAGGCGGGCACGTCGAATTGGGTGCCGCAAGCGGAGCAGATGAGGAGGTCGTCTCTGGTTTGCATCTTGATTTGATGTGCCTCGAGATTGAGAGGGAAGATGTTTTGATGATGGAACATCCCATGTAGGGGTGTCGCGGATACTAAGGTATCCACATACGTGATAGTATCGATAGCATTATTGATACTATCATGATAATATCGATAGCATCATTGATACTATCATGATATTATCGGTAGATATCAGATATATATCCAAGAATGTAATCGGGATAGCGCTATACGGCTTAGTGGAATGGGGTGCTGCTAGCTGTTCTAAGTGAGCCTCCACGAGCTGTAGCGAAGATATATGCCTAAGGCATTAGTATCGGGCCAGATACTATCATAACTATCCTCGTGATTGATACTATCATGATACTAACTAGATACTATCATGATACTAACCGTTGATATCGATACTATCATACCTATCCACGTAACTGATACTATCATGATACTAACCGTTGATATCGATACTGTGATACTATCGACACCCCTAGCCGACTCCCATGCCGTCATCGTCGGCGGCCGGCCCGATCCCTGCAAGAGAGGCATCAATTCTGCAGAAGGGTATACGCAATCGGCCAACGACGATAGCTGCATCCAGAAAGTGATCGACAGGTACGCGTCTTACTGAAGAGGGAAGTACGCCTTCATACAGAAGAGAAGAGCAGGAGAGACTTGATCATGGTTCGGTCCACGACGACTCGACTGGAGCTCGCCTTCCACGCGCCAGGAGCATGAGGTGGCTCTGGGGATGCTCGCCAGGCAACATCTTGCCCAAGCCTCATCAGATTACCTGCACTTACGGCGTGTGTGGACGTCTCCTTCTGCGAGCTCTCAGATTCATGTGCTGACTGACGTGTCCAGGCTTATCGATGGGGCCTTGTGCTCTTCTTCGACGGAGTGACGGAGATTACTTTAGTTGCGCTGGCGAAGTACATGCTCGATGGAATAAAAGCCAACATGGAGGAGAAAGTAACGCTGATCGTCGCATTTGCGCTGCGCTTGGGGTAAGACGTTCGTTCTTGCGATGTGTAACGTTCTGCTAATGCATGGTCATCGTATATGCCATCCTGTCATATGCCGCTGTTCGCACTGCAATTGAACCACACACGACGCCCAACACGGAACGTCTGGCGTACAGCTACTTCGAGATTTGGAGAGACGTGGGAATGTGCTATTCGATGCTGACAGCCGCGCTGCCCTTTACTCTGAGGTTCGTCCAGAATTTCGATTCGATAGTGATGAGTCCACCAAACATGGAAGGCCTTGACAAACTGGCCAGTCGAGGCCGTTCGCTATCAACATCGGTAGCGCGACCCGGGACCGTCCACGAGAGAGCAGCGCCTGCTCTGCGAATGCCGTCCGTGCCGGATGACGTGGATGTTCATGGAGACCGCACCAAGTACACCGCGGAGATATCAGCCAAAGAGAACGTCTGTCATGGACACAATCCCGCGGGCGAATTTCAGGCGCGAGGGCCGGGTCCTTGTGTCGAGCGAGCTAGATATGAGATGAGAGACTTTCGCAAGCCCTGGTGTCAGGGGTGTTGGACTTTCCGACTCCCCTGACCTTACACCGGGTCAGTCGGACCCCCACGCCGAAGGCCCGAATAATGTGGTCTCCGATGCCTGAGCCCGAATCAGCCAGCGCCATCAGCCATGCACCGACCGGGAGAGGGATGCTGATCGCGAGCAGTTATGTTGGAGCCGGCATCTCGCGACAATAGACGTCTGGACAAGACGTTTCATGATTCGCGCTTGGCACATTCTCAACCGGATACCCGAGCGCTTCGAGTCTTGACGAACCGCTGGATACGCGCCGATACGCTCATGAGTGATGGATAGAATTCGAAAAATAGGACTTTGAATCTACTTGGCGTGGACGAGCATCTGCTCGTACAGATCGGCCGGAATCTTGCGCGCAAAGTTTACGGTGTAGTCGATAACCTTGCGAGCTCGAAGAGGCTTGAAGTCAGGCTTGGGTCTAGGCAATTGTCAGCGAGGTGTTTTGAGAAGGTCGTGCGCATGGACTCACGTTTGACTGTTTAGCAACGAGTCTCGTATCAGCACCAACTGCGAGACGATGCAGAGCAGGTTCAGATGAGGTCCGTAGGCGAACAGGAAGTCCCATAGCTGTAAAACTTCGGGCAATGGCGGGGTGCAGGCGCAAAGTGTCAGTACACTGGGAAAGGCATAGATCTCGGCCTTCATGCCTTTGCTCATCATGTGAGAAGCCAACTTGGGGTCTACGATAGCCAAGATCTGGTCGATGAGGGCAAGGCCGTTGTGGACACCGTCCATACTTCCGCGCACGTATGCAGGACATTCGTGTGTGATGCAGCGGTCGAATGCAGCGAATGCTTCGGCCTCGCTGCGAGCGGCATACAAGAAAGGGGCTGCCATGACATTCATTCCCTGTACGTAGCCGATATGAGTCGAGGTTGCGTCGCCGGACTCCGAGCCGTCGGTGCCGGTGACGGAGCCAAGAGGGTGCTTGGTGTTGACCGAGTCGGGCGAGTGAAACACGTGGTCGGTGCCATCGAGGCTCTTGGGTACAGGGAGAGTCGGGGGCGACATCCAGCCATTGACTCGGGCTTCGTTGGCGTTGTGAAGTTTCCAGGCAATGGCGTTGAGGACTCGGGTCAGACTGTTCTCTGTCACGCGGCGGCGGAAGAGGGGATCGGTGGTCAATGTGCGGAAGGTGTCGTTGCGGATCTTGGCATAGGCTGGTGAGGCGCCGAGTTGGACGAGATCGAGGTATTGCTCTGCCTTGAGTGGGGGCGCGTTGAGGAGGATGAGCCAGACGTAGACGCGAAGTTCGGACTGTTGATTGGTCAGTATGCACATCATGATACATATCGTCGTCAGGTGAGATAGGTGCTCGTGACGTACCATGCCGTCGGCGTTGGCGGGTATACCGTCGAGCAAGACTACACGCCGGAGCTCCTCCAGACCGGCGGTGTGGTTGCCATCAGGTGGTCCCTTTTGCAGGAAGAGGTCGAGATGGGTCATGTTCGCGTGGCCAAGAGGCTGTAGCCGGCCAATGTCGCGTCGGTGTCGGTGTCGGTGTCGGTGTCGATGGTGAAGGTGGTAGATGGAAGTGCGACGCGTGTTGAGATGGTCGGCGAAGTCACGAGAGCCCGGCTAGCGCGTCGGCTCTGTCCGCAGCGCGGGTGGCAGCACAGGAAGGGGAAGCAGGGAAGCAGCGACGGGCTCAGGCAGGTGGGGGAAGTGCAACTGAGAATGCATCTACTAGGTACTGTAGCTTAGGTAAGGTATCACATATCTACCTTACAGGTACTCGAGACGTGACTCGACTCTGGCCAACTAACTCTACGACACACCGTGCAAGACCGTGTCGATGACAGTACTCACTCAGTAGTGTGTGTCCAAACACCGCGTGCCCAAACACAGTGTGCAGCATGCCCCAAACACAGCCCAGTGTGCAGTGCCGACTCGACTCAGCGGACATGGTACGAGTCGCGACGGGCGAGGATGACAAAGAAGTTGAAGCAGTCCTGATCTGATATACATACTGTACTACAGCACTGCAGCGCCAAGCGGGCCATCGGAGCTCAGCGAGGCAACGCAAGCGACCAAGCGAAGGAAGACAGCGACAGAGCGGACGTCACCCGTCGCCGCGCACACTTCTTTCTACATATACCGGCGGCGCTGGTGAACTTCGTCGACGCCGATGGACTTGGCAACGCTGACCTTTGTCGACGACGTCTGGTCTGAAGTAGTATGATGAGGCCAGGCCAGGCCAGGCCAGGCCTCACATGTGACAAGTATTCGCTGACACAGCACAGACAAGGCATAACGCTTAGAATGTCTTGGCATCCGATGGACCGCCATCCACGCCACGCTAACAATAAGGTAATGGTCTGGCATCAGGCCCATGGCCTCAACACCCTACCAACCAACCACCGCACTGCATCATCAGCCTGGGAGCCTTCTCCGCGTCCCCGGTACAAAGCGCCTTTTACAGTACGCAGACACTGTGCAGAGCTTTCTCTGTCGTCTGGGCGCGCAAAGGGTCTAGCCGGACATGGGATTCCTGCCGGCTGGAGCACGCAAGATGTCGCTCTTGCAATTGGAGCGAGGCCCACGGCGACATCTATCGATCGCCCTGAGCCCTACCAGATCATGCACGGGTGAAGGCTGCCGCATGGTCTGCCCTAGCGCGCTCGGAATCGATCACGCAATTCGATGCCATACCTCCTTTGTATGCCCTCCCCACCAACAGACCCGCTCACCACGTTGAAAGAATCACCTCGTGTGACGACCACGACGCGCATCTCCGTCGCCTGCTACGTCAACCCGCTATCTACCTGCATCTCCCGTTCACCTGGATCGTGAAATTCAACTCCATCCCGCTCCTCGACCTGGTAGCAGGTACCATCTCCGGAGCCCATACCGCCTAGAATCCCGCGGCCGCTGTCCATCCATCTGCTGTCCGACAGGGTACTGCGTCAAGCATCTTACTAAACGCATCTTGTCTGAGACAGGCATCTACAGCACCATCCAACTGTCCATGCGTCCTGACTTCCGAACCAATTCTTACAGCAGCTCTCCTCCGTGAAAAGCAGAGCTCGGGGCACTTGCAAGGCCTCGCGTCTTTGCGATCCTACCTCTGCTGAACTGATCGGCTGTTCGAGCCCTATGAGGTCTCTCTCGACTTGCTTTTGGACGCTGTCGTGATTGCTCGCGATCCGGCTACTTTCCCAAAGAGGCCAGTCTGGTTCGCATTCCAACCTGCCGCCACTTGCGCCCGTCCAATGCTATCACTGCTGGCCCACCCTTAACCTGCGTACACTCGCGATCAGCGAAGCCACAGTGTCGTTAGCATACCTCGCCTGTGCGCATTCTGTCGACGCAACCCCCAAACCCCACGCCTCAGCGCTGGTAGACGCTATATATCATTGCCAGCGACTGCCCTTCCCCCGAGGCCACGCATAGCAACCGCTTCGCAGCTATGGCCTCTACCAGCACCAAGGTCGGACACGGCCTAGCAAAGGTCCTCGGTATCAAGCTCGATCAGCCCAACGGCCCCGGGCCATCCAACACAACCGGCGGTGACTCGGTCTTCTCCATCGACAGCTCCGACAGCTACTGGGAGGAGGAGCCGACAGCGCTGGAATGGATCAAGTCGGTCACCCCAAATGGCCGAGATATCGCACGCTACCTTCGCAATCTTTTCCCCTTCACGAAATGGATCCTGAGATACAACACGCAATGGCTTGTGGGAGACCTCATCGCCGGAGTAACCGTGGGCGCAGTCGTGGTACCGCAAGGAATGGCATACGCAAAGCTCGCTGAGCTTCCTGTGGAGTACGGTCTCTATTCATCTTTCATGGGAGTCTTGATCTACTGGTTCTTCGCTACCTCCAAAGACATCACCATTGGCGTAAGTCCCCTTTGAAAGCCCTACTCCAGACGATCGTTCATCTCTAACTTATCCAGCCTGTCGCCGTCATGTCCACGATCACCGGAAACGTCGTTCTCGAAGCCGCCAAGAAGGCCCCCAACGTTCCTGGGCACGTTATCGCATCCGCTCTCGGAATCATTGCGGGCGCGATCGTCTGCTTCATTGGCTTGATCCGATTGGGTTGGCTGGTCGAGCTGATTTCCCTCACTGCCATTTCCGCTTTCATGACGGGATCCGCCATCAATATCGCGGTTGGACAGGTGCCCAACTTGATGGGTCTTGCCAGCGTCAATAATCGGGCTTCGACATACTTGGTTGTCATCAACTCGCTCAAGCACCTGGGCCAGACGAAACTCGATGCAGCGCTTGGTCTGACGGCATTGACAATGCTCTACATCATCCGATACATCTTCAACTACCTCGCGAAGCACCAGCCTCAGAGGAAAAAGCTGTGGTTCTTCTGCAATACTCTCCGGGTGGTCTTTGTCATCCTACTCTACACGCTGATCGGCTGGTTGATCAATTTGCACTTGAAGAACCATAACAGCAAGTACTCGCCGGTCAAGATCTTAGGAACGGTCCCCCGAGGATTCAAGCACGCAGCAGTACCTACGGTCACCTCAGACATCATCAAGCTCTTCGCCAGCGAGCTTCCTGCGTCGGTCATTGTACTCTTGATCGAGCACATCTCCATCTCCAAATCTTTTGGACGAGTCAACAACTACACAATCGACCCATCGCAAGAACTGGTCGCGATTGGCGTATCCAACCTGCTAGGACCTTTCCTAGGAGGCTACCCAGTGACAGGCTCCTTCTCACGCACCGCGATCAAGTCCAAAGCCGGAGTTCGCACGCCTTTTGCAGGCGTAATAACGGCCTTGGTGGTATTGCTTGCCATCTACGCACTTCCCGCCGTCTTCTTCTACATTCCGCAAGCAGCCCTGAGCGCCGTCATCATTCACGCAGTCGGAGACCTGATCACACCACCCAACACTGTCCACGAATTCTGGAGAGTCTCGCCAATCGAGGTGCTCATCTTCTTCGCCGGTGTCATTGTGACTATATTCTCTTCCATCGAGATCGGCGTTTACGTCACGATAACATCTTCAATGGCTCTCTTGCTCTTCCGTGTCTTCAAGGCGCAAGGACGATTCCTCGGCCGCGTCAAAGTCCACTCGGTCATTGGAGACCATCTCATCGAGGGAGAAGATGCCAAGACAAGACGCCTTGAATTCAACAACGAGAGCGACGCAGACAAGACCGTGCGCAACATCTTCCTTCCTATCGACCACCACGACGGCTCCAACCCATCTATCAGAACCGAGCACCCGTACCCGGGCGTTTTCATCTACAGATTCTCGGAAGGATTCAACTATCCGAATGCAAACCACTACCTCGACTACCTCACAGAAGTAATTTTCAAGGAGACGCGGCGCACAAACCCTCACAGCTATCCGCGACCCGGGGACCGACCCTGGAACGATCCTGGACCAAGAAAAGGCAAGGAGGTCGGTGATGATCATCGCCCAACCCTGAAGGCCGTCATTCTCGACTTCTCCTCCGTCAACAATGTCGACATTACTTCGGTACAGAACCTCATCGATGTAAGAAATCAGCTCGATCGATACACAGCACCAGAGCGGGTGCAGTGGCACTTTGCAACCATCAACAACCGCTGGACAAAACGAGCCTTGGCTTCTGCTGGCTTCGGTTTCCCTGCGTACGACAACGTCGAATACAGTCGATGGAAACCAATCTTCAACGTTGCCGAGATTGGCGGTCGTCTTAGTGCAGCCGCCGACGCCGAAGAGAAGGAGAAGCGACGAGAATTGCGGAGCCGCGATGATCCAGAACTTGGCCAGCGAATGGAGGCTGACAGTATCGCTGCATCCGACAGCCAGTCGCGAGACAGTGGCGTGGTCGGGTCGAAGTCACAAGCCTACTCCACCACGTCCACCGTCAAGGTTGCAGTCGTACATGGCTTGAACCGACCGTTCTTCCACGTCGACCTCAGCAGCGCTGTGCAGAGTGCGATACACAACATTGAACATCATAACAACTCGCATCACCACGAAGATCATTCACTGGATGCATTTGGCACGATCGCGGGTGCACCCATACCTCCCAGAGGACCGGTGCAATGATAGATGCAGCGAATCTTGCCTTTTTCTGTACACATGTAGGGCTTCATTATTCGTAGCGACACATTAGCGATCTGTAGAGACCGCCTACGCACCGAGAAAGCGTTCTGAAGAATTTATCAGCCGAGTGTCTTTCCCTCTCCTCGCTAATAACCCTACCCCTGTCGATATCGCGTACCACAGAGTTCCTCCTTGCAGAGGGCGGGGGCGCAGCAAGGCTATCAACTTCGAACATCAGCTGGCTGATCTTCGCACTGTACCCCTTCTAAACCAGAACCATACACGCATCTTTATTCCCACCACACACATACCATCCGATTGATCCCTTCTCGGAAATCCCCGATTCAGACTCGCGATTTCGGGCAATCCGAAAAAAAGATGGCCTCCCAACCCCCACCACCACCACCCATCTCCCCCATCGCGAGCAAGAACCCAGAATTCACCCTCACGGCCGCTTCCATCAACCACGAACCCATCGAACTCGACAGCCAGCCCGTCTCCGCGGAGCGACATGCTGCTCGTAGTAGTAGTAGCAGTAGTCGGAGGAGGGCGGGATCCAAAGCCGCGGCGGCGGCTGCTCCGGAGGAGGCGTTGCATGCGCATGCCGTGCAGGGGATTTCCGACGAGGAGGAGGAGGAGGAGGAGGAGGAGAGACAGGTCGGTCTGCTCTGCGCTGCGAAATGCACTTTTCTTGTTAATTTTTTTTTTTTTTGAAAAAAAAAAAAAATTTGCCCTCTCCTGCCTCTTCTCTCTCTCCTCTCTCTGGCTTCTGAATTTGAATTTTTATTTTTTGGGGGGGGGGGGGGATTTTTGCTGACGGTTTGGTGTGTAGAGAAGAGCGGATTTGATTCTGGAACGGAAGGCGAATCCGGCTGTTTTGGTTGATATCCCCAAGGAGCCTGGGCCCGAGGAGTTGGAGGAGGCTGCTGCTGAGGGTGCTACTACTGCTGCTACTACTACTACTACTGCTATTACTACTGAGGAAGGGAAAGGGATCTCTGAAAACAGTTCATCGTCGGGAAAGGTAGTAAAGTAGATGAGCAGGCACTATGATGAGGGAGTTGCGAGTTGCGAAGGGAGTTCGCCCGTTGGACTTGGGGGGGGGGCTGTGGATTTGGATTTCCAAGTCTGTGACTTTTTTTTTTTCCACAGAAGTTGCCTGCCTGTCTGCCTGCCTTACTTACGATGAATTCTTGCCCGGAACGCCGATTTCTTCCCTTCCCCAACATCGAATTTTTCCTCCAACCGCGTGCGGGTATCTATACATTTTTCCGGATCTGGGAGTATTCCCAAAAACTGCTTCTTTGTTTCGCAGAATCTCTCTCTAGACGTCTTTGTTTGTCTTTTTTCCCTCTCATGCCGCAAAAATCATGGAACCTCTTGAACTCCGCATCTACGTAGGAAGGTCGTCCCCTTTGTTCTTCTCCCTCTTGCCCTCAATGCCAAGGAAGATCTTTCGACTTGCTCTTCTGATTCCATATGCCCGGGAATCGAACCACAGCAGGAGGATATGTAAAGCAACGCCTTATCGGCGACGACGAAAATGTTCGTAGAAGACAGACCGCTCTCGACGTTCCGCCCGACGTCGGGCTGGCTCTTGCCCAGTCCACCATCACCACCACCGCCGCAACCGCAAGCTGGTGCTGCTGCTAGGAAGCGGCCTCCGATCAGTAGCAGTAACCAGGAGCCGAGGAGCCAGAGGCTGCCACTGAATAAGAGTTCGGAGTCTTCTTCCTCGCTCAGTGGACTGGAGCGCCCGGTGCCGTCTTTCCAGAGTTTTATCCAGAAAACGCCGTCTGTGGAATTGTATAAGCCGCTTCCTCCGACGCCGCCGCCGCCACGGAAGCGATCAGAGGGCTCGCTGGGGGGTGTTGACCGACGCGCTAGTAGTGTGTATAGTCGTACGTCGAGCCAGTCTGGACGTTCAAGCTCGCGAGATCAGTTATACGAGGGAGAGAATGACTATGCGATGGTTTTCCGACCGGTTTCGTACAGTACGGGCTCGTCGGGGTCACTCAACAACAAGAAAGAAGACAGCGAAGAGCAAGAAGAAGAAGAAGAACAAGAAGAACAGGAAGAAAGGCCGGCTGCCGCAGATCTTCTAGACCCACGAGCGTTCTCACCACTCCTCGCGAGCCCGTCGCCGATTCGGAGTGCTCCTGTGCCCACGAATCCTCCTCCACTGGAAGCCCAGACTTCTGCTTGGTCGATTTCGGCTCCTACGGCAGAGACTCCCGTCCGGTCGAGAGTGCCGACGGTATCTCTAGAGCAAGCACAGCGATCCCTCAGAGCGCCCGGTGCTGTACACCTCCTGCCTGAGGAACTCCGTGCGCAGAGGCTGGGCTCGTCGCAGGGGAGTTTGCGAATGCAGAGTATGGAGATCTTCAATGCAGGAGCCAAAGCACCCGCGTCGCCGAATTTGCCGAAATTGCTGGATGTTCCGGAGCAAGGAGATCGAGGAGCATCGGGGACGGCGGATTTTGCGAAGAAGAAGAAGAAGAAGAAGAAAGTGAATCCGGCGTATGGGAATGCTTTTCATGTGGGCGAGGGGCCCGTTCGGGAAATGACGCCGTGCGCGCAGAATGAGAGTGATACTGATGAGCCGAGGGGACGTACGATGCAGAGGAGATCTCAAGAAGTCGAAGCGTATCAGCTCTCGGCGGAGAGGTACACACCCATTGTCAATTCGACGTCGATTGTTGTCACGGATTACAGTCCTGCTTCTTCGAGCGGACCGTATCGTCAAGCTTCTTCCCCTTCGCCGGCAGGTTACAGCACGGACGACAGTGTCACGACACACCTGAAAATGGTGCCGCAGCCGCTCTTTCAGGGGAAACAGCCGCCTTTGCATGCCAGGACAATGTCAGCCGCGACGACTCGTGGTAGCGAGACGGGGTCTTCTGTCTCGCCGTTTAGTGTTCAGCATCAGAGAGTCAGGAGCAACGAGAGCACGACTTCTTCCCGGCGTTCTTCTTCTGGTTTCGGTTTGCGGCTTTCGGTTGAGCCCCCGACGGATACAACGGGACGGTCGAGTAATCATAGCTCGACGGGTGTGATTCCCATCTCGCCTCCGACGGATCATTGCGCAGAGACTTTCAAGCGATTGAAACCGCCCAAGATTGATGAGGGCAGTAGGGGGAAATCGTCTACTTCCAAGCGACGGGAAAAGAGCCAGAGTCACTTCTACCCGCACATTATGGCACGAAACGGGTCGAAACCAAAGAAAGGCAAAGGCTCCAATGCGAGTGCCAATCCACCTCCTCTTCCTACTTCCGGGAAACCTCTCCTGCCGGCGGAAGTTGTCGCTCAGGTATTGAAGACTCCACCCGAGAGTTCTCCTCAGTCGCCGCTGGTCAGTCATCCGATCTCTCCGACGATCACTACCGGATCTTCGAGTCGTGGGAGTTCGGTAAAGGCAGCGCGGAAACATGGTGGACTCTTGGTCAGGATTGCGAACAGAGCGAGGAGGAGATCTTCGCAACAGCAACGAGACTCGTCACCGCCTCGTACATCACCGGATTCTCGTCCGCGTCTTTTCCCAAGCCCCTCTTCTAAGTCGAAAATGCCCCTGACCTCCTACCTGGGCTGGTCTGACGTTTCCAAGCGAGATTTCGACGAGGCACATTCTGCCGCTGCTTCGAATCATGAGATCCGCCCTACACATATTACTGCGCCGGCGAAGCCCTTGGAGACCGGCAAAGGGGAGCAGGAGCCGGAGAGTCCTTCTGCTGCGACGACGGGGAGAAGGCCGAGTTTGTTTGTAAGTGTGTTGGATGGCTGGAGGGAGAGCAAAGCGCAGAAGAGAAGGGAGGATCTGAAGAAGATGATTCGGGTTGTTGCGCCGACAGACAAAGGGATGGGGAAGGAAGAGGAGAAGGTGACGACTTCCGGTAGTGCTGGGAGCGATAGCCCTGGGCTTCTGGGGAGGAGGTTCAGTTCTTATGGATGGATGTAGGGAGCAGAGAGCTTGAGTCTGGAATGCGCAAGGATGTACAAGTATGAAAGGATGAAGATTCTGGAAGATATGGATACTGTTGGTCAAAGCTTTAAGGTTGTTTGCATGTGATTGCTCCGGAGATAAAGCCGAATCGCGACTTCCTTTCCTTTAAATGAGCTCGCACTTGCGCTTGCACTTACGTTCTTTCCACAGCAAACATGCGACCCATTCCAAACACCAACAAGATGAGCACGATCAACGTCCCTCAAGGCTTTCGCCCTCTTCGCGAGATCCTGCACAAACTGCGCAAGGCTGGCGAGGGAGATTTTACTTTGGTCTGCGAGGGGAAAGGAATGGAAGGTGCACAGCTTTCTGCTGATGGCCTATTCGGATGTTTTGTATCGGATGGCGACGTCGGAGAAGTTTGTTGTGAGTGTTGAATATCCTGCCGCGAACAGGCTTGGGGGCAAAGACTGATGACATCCTCTCCAGGAACGCCATGCAGGCCGCGCAGAGCTCCAGGAAGTCGAAGCTGACCACGTCGAGTGCATGGTGAATTTCTTCTATCATGGCGACTTCGAAGACTGGGTCCCGGGACAGGACGTTCTCGAAGTTCAGCTCGGGGTCGCGGCTCTCGGCGAGATGTACCACATCCCCTCCCTCGAGACGTGTGCGGCGGAGATACGGTACCAGATGAAGGAGTGCAGCTTCCACAGCATGGATGAGGGCGACTCACACGACTCCAGCTCGGACCTCAGTCATGATATGTAAGGTATTCAGAGGACTGGATCTAGCATATTGCTCGAGAGATTGCTACAGAGACATCACACAGCGTTTAGAACGTTTGTAACATCATGCCCCCGTGGCTTCCACGCTGACTTCACCGCTGTGCCCTCAGCTCCTTTCGCGGCATCTGAGAAGCTGTAACCTCGGCAATGTAGGTGCAAAATGCGATGCACTTCAAGGTCCCTTCGCGTTCGAATGTCGTGGGTATGAGGAAGGAGCGACTTTCACATGCGGCGCTAGTCTCAGATAAGCTTTGAAGCTTCAACGCTGCTTCCCCCCTCGATTGCTCCTTCCATCTTTCAGAATCTTAATTCCCACATTGCCGCCCCCTCGCACCGTGAATTTTGACATCTCCACCCTTCGATTATCTCGCGATCCTCCCGAGACGCTTGACTGCATGCCCATGCGCACGCCGTCTAGACATTCACAATCGTCCGTCGTTGACCTCTTCTTATCGCCGCCTCGAGAGGCTTCAGTCTCAAGGAAAGCCATGGATTCTTCTCCGAGCGTGCGGAAGCGTCTCAAGAGGTGAGTTGCTTGCTCTTCCTCCCCACCCCAACACCAGCTGATTGATCAATCGCCAGGCTCCACGACGACGGTACCGAATCCGATTTCACGCTCGTCGTCGGTGAACGCGAATTCAAGGTCCACAAGATGGTCCTCTTCCTCCACTCCACCGTGCTGTATGCACTTGTTACCAAGGTGTGTAAAGGCCGACTAGCGATGGCAATGTTCGGCAATGTTGCTGACGCGTCTGTCCAGAACGAGGCTAGGGCTGAGCTGAAGGGAGTCGAGGCAGACCACGTCGCTGCCATGGTCAAGTTCATGTACTGCCAGACCTACGACCAACCGTCTGCTTCCCTGTACTTGTGGCAGGAGAACGCCGAGTTCGAAGTTGCTATGAACGCCATCGGCAACAGATACAACATTGCCGACCTGAGATCATTCGCGCAGCAGCGCTTTAAGGATGCCCTGCCCTCCAAAGTCTTTCGAGAATCTGGAAAGCCTAAGCAGCTGGCCGAGTTTTTGGATAGGGCTAGCAGCAACTCGGACACCACGCAAGAAATGCGCAACCTCATTATCCATACGGCGACGGACCACCACGACGTATTGATGAAGCTGGACACAGATCCTTTGCAGGGCGTGCTCTTGAGAAAGCCAAAGCTGGCTATCGATATCATCAGACGAATGGCGGCACGCCAAGTCGCAACGAAGGACCGTGACCACCAAGAGGCCGATTTCTACCGGCACTGCTCCACACGAATTGCGATCGACTTCGACGACCTGCCGTACTGCGAGAGATACGATGACTATGACGAGCGCAAGGCACTGCTGGCTTGCCCAGACTGTTGTGAAAAGTTGAGCAAACAGACTTGGCAAGCCTTCAAGCTGATTTCCATTGTCTCCTAAGGCGACGGCGACCAGGAATGGCGGTGGGAACGCGTACGGCATGCGATTTGCCCTCAATTTGCTCAGCGAAATTTTGGCGGAGATGACTGCAAGAGACCTGATTACTTGCTAGCAATCTATCGAGATAGGTAGCTCACTTAACCTCCCGCGATTTCACTCATTTTCTTCACGACCTTCATTACCTCGAGGAAAATCGCCTGCAGCGGTCCAACGCTGTTGTTACTGCTCCCGCATTCATGGCATCGATTGCATCTCCCGTAGACGCTAGATGCAAATCCGTGCTTGGCGCCATTGTTGCAGACGCTACATCCTTGGACGTCGGTGGGGTGGGTGTCGGTAGTACCGTCACCTATCTCAATTCCAGTACGATCGCTGCAGGCTGGTCTGGAACGTGATGAGCTCATCGGTGCGGAGGGAAGCACATGTGGGAGGTTGGGAGGGTCCTATGACGAGTGGAGGATGTTGTTTCAGAAAGGCGATCAGGGTCTCTAGGGTTCTTGGGGTGGTGTTACAGAAAAAGTGCAGGTCCTGGGGAGAACGCTGCACGGATGGAGTCGTGGGGATTCGAGAAGGGGCCTCTCCTCTGACGCTGTTTGGCTGGGCCTCGTCGCGACCGGGGAGGGTCTTGGTGAAGTGTAATCTTTGAGGATTTTCCGGTTGCCACAGTTGCCTATCATCCTCATTGAAGGCTGTGCGAAAGAAGTAGACACATCCATGGATATGTGCATCTTCTTCTACTGTTCACACAGAGGGCTGCAGGTTTCAATGCTTGTCACAATTCAAGTGGGACAGTGTGGGCACACGGGCATCGGATGCTGTGGTGGTGGCGCGACGATACATGTGACAGGCGGGCGAGATCCGGGCCAGATGAGCAGCGACTGGGAATTTCCTGCGTGGCATGTTTGGGGGAGGCTCGAGGAAGAGGCGTCATCTCTCACGGTGCATTTGAGATGCAGGCGTGCGGTTGTTCCTGCAGGGCGAGGCGCGTCTTGAAATAGGGTGGCGTTTTGTGAACCTCTCCCCACACTCTCCACGGCGGACGGGACCTGAGCCAGGATTGGTTTTCTGGAAGAAAGCTTAAAGTCTGCCCGGGAGCACCGCGCGACGGATCCCGCGCGTCTTGCAGATTCTTGAGCGCGTGAGCATCGCATCGGGGGGAGATGAAGAGGACGGAGCACAGAGGTCGTGTGGGAGAGGGCAGTGGCAGTGGTGGAAGGCGCAGCAGCAGCAGATTCGATCACAAGATTGCCGAGAGGCGCAACTAGCAGCAGCCGAAAAATCTCCTGGGCTCTGCCGGATGCAGGTGATTGGACGACGCGGGGGACGTGCCAAGGCGTGTTCGGCAGGGCAAGCGGCGTCTCTCGTGTTTCTGTTTCTGCGGGAGCCCCTTGGACGGGGCTTCCCTTCAACAAACTCACCCACACTCGTGCACACTGTTGCTGCCCCGTCCAGCCTCTGTTACACGCACGCATGTGGCGACTTCGCTGCTATCTTCTGATCAGCACCAAGTCTCCGTCCGCTCCTTTGACATACCCCCCGCCGCCGCCGCCGCCTTCCATTGTCCATAATATATCCTCCCCCGACTACGCGCGACCAACGAGCTTGCTGCCCTGCCCTGCACAGCCCTCCGCATCCGACTCAGTCCAACAGCCCCTGCGCCTTGTTCGCAAACGCATTCCAACTGCGAGATCCTGCCGTGCACCCGAGATCCAACCACTCCGCTCTCACCGTCATATCATCCTCCGCACACGCTACCGGCAAGCAATTGGAGACAGCACATCGCAGCCGCATGACCATATTCACACGAAGAAAGCTCCCCTACCATTACAATGGGCCCGCGACCCACGCATTTGAACCTGGCGGAGGGCCGCAAAGACGAATTCGATCCCCCCAAGATGCCCTTCGCCCACCGAGATCTACCGTCGCCGCGTGCGGGCGAGATTCCGCCGGCGCTCTCGCCGCTAGATGCCTTTGCCATGCATTCACGAATGCTGGCTAGGAAGTTTGAGGAGCAGGGAGACAATGGTCGGAGGATGAGCAGGTTATCGCCTGTGATGGTTGCCAAAGAGATCGGGAACCGGCCGGGTTACTTCAGGAGTCTGAGCACTGAGAGCAAGATGGACGATCTCGCGGAAGAAGAAACCAGTCCGATTTCACAACGAAACCCCAATGTGTCCGAGGCAAGCCCTTCGAAAGAGAGGCCACTGAGCCACTATCCAACGCTGGATCGGGCGAGCATGGCGACCGAGCCAGACGACATGCCCGCGGTGCCTACACCCTTCTTCGACGCACAGGAACGGCAACCAAACGCTCGAGCTAAGGAAGCTCCTGTTGATTACTTTGGCATCGCACACAGAGCCTCTTCTCCCGAGCCAATCGATTCGAGATTTGTGAATGTCCAAGCGCCTTCGCCAAATGATTATCCCAGCTTGACGAACAGCATCGATTCGGTCGCGACGCACAGAAGCCATCCCCGAACCATGACCAACGACTCCCAACGGTCATACCGCTCGCAGAACTCGGATCGAGGTCTTGCAGTACCGCAGTCGCCACGACATCCTAAGTCGTCACGCAGTTTCCAGAGTATACGATCCGTTCCACCGGACAGCGACCACGAAGATGCACAGTCAGCGAATGGATCGCAAGTGATGTCCTCATCGCGCAAGTGCTCTGGAAGCAGCGCATCGAGACCGCAGTCGCCATTTTCACCCTGGATGCACTCCGTACACAGGTCTCCATCCATGACCTCAGAATACTCGATGAATGGATCACAGCAGTTTCCAAGGGCAACAACGAACTTTTCAAGACCGATGAGTAGCTCTGGTAGCCGGCCCTCGTTTGACACGAGGCCCTCTTTCGACAGTCGATCATCGCAAGAGCGACAGCGTTTGCCGCACCGGCAGGCATCCGGCGCCAGTAGCAGCAGTACCGGACATTCATCACGACCTGCCATGTCGCGGCAGGGATCCGCCGATGATGCTCCAGCAGACTTTCACGATCTCGTGACACCCTCACAGCTCTCCACAGAACATTTGCCGGACCGTGCGGGAACGCCGAATGGCATCTCTCCCGGTTCTTACATCTACGCGAAGTATGCTCTTCCCCGGGGAAGGCATATGCAGGGGGAGTCGCAGGAGTTCAGAGACTCGTGGATCCAGAAGCAGTCCGAGTGGGATCGGAATCACAACAGACAGCCCTCCAAACAGCTGCATCAGCAGCATCACGAGAGAACTTCCAGTGACATGGCGCCCGCACAAGAAGCACGCGCTTCGCCTGTACCTCAAGATGCTGGTCGGAGTGGCCGAAGCTTAACGCCTGTTGCAAACGAGGCACGAAGCAGATCAGCGGACCCGAGAGCACTCGACCGAACTGCCACTGCATTACACCGTCCAACGCCCTCCGTCAGGACGGACAGCACAGACCGTACGATCAGAGCTACGCCATTGCACAAGCGCGCAGTCTCTGCCGATCTTTCAGCGGAGGAGCACCTGGACATTGGGATTGCTGCTCACGATGCGGGTCAGACCAACAAGTCCACGTATCACCTCCGGCTTGCTTCTATCGCTGGTCTGCCGACCGCCATGCTGCTTTATGCACTGGCTTGCCGGCACGGCTGGGGTATGCGGCCAAACGCGGAAGAAGGAGTCAAGTGGTTGCGCAAGGCTATTGACACTTCTGGTCTTGACGTCGCGGATGCGGAGCAAAAGCTGAATTCGGGCAACCACAAGATTGACCCCGCGGAGCGAAAGAAGCGGAAAGCACAGTATGCGTTGGCCATCTACGAGCTTGGCGTGAGCTCAAGAAATGGTTGGGGATGCAAGAAGGATCCCCTACTTGCTCTGAGATGTTACGAAATCGCTGGCGATATGGGTGACGCAGACGCATTGGCCGAGGCTGGCTACTGCTATGCTCAAGGTATTGGCTGCAAGAAGGACATGAAGAAAGCTGCTTCTCTGTACCGCAAGGCGGAGGAGCGCGGTATGTCGATGGCTGGAAACAGCTGGTGGGTCGCTCTTTCCCCCACAGTAAACGAAAGACGTTTTACTAACAAGTCCTCCAGGATCTACAAACCGAAATACATGGACGATGCCTCTTCTGCGCCTTCGGAAAAGGACAAAAAGGAGAAGCGACCCGATACAGCCGTATCGAGAGATTCGCGAAAAGACGGCAGACCGGAGACTCGTGCTCGATCGAGGAGTATATTCGGCCGGTCGAAGAAGGAAAAGCCGCCTGCCATGCCTGTCTCGTAGAATACCCGGTGTCTGGAGTTCTCATATGTTACTACTACTTTTCTCGGATTCCAACTCATTTGTGCCGTTTTCTCCCGACTACTGGATTCCGCTGGGCGCTGGGCGATGAATCGATACTGCTTAAATTGAAGAAAGAAAGGAGAGCATGCGACACGGACAATGTATATTGCGACGGCCGGACTGCCTTCTTGCATTGCGTGCTTGCCTTCTGTTCTGTTGTGGTTATCTAGGTCTACTTGGCGAAGGGCTGGTTTGGTTTTATCTGTAATCGCGGGACGAGGAGCTGGATGTGAAAAGTGTGTGGTTAGTACTGTCCAAAGGAAAAAGTGCAGAGGGGACAGGTTGAGGCGCTCAGTGCGCTTTTATCAAGAGCAAGACGGGGAAAACGGGGGAAGAATCTCCTGTATATGAAAATGTTTATTAGCCTTGTACAGAACGTGTTCTCCGGTGGTTTACTTTTAATTTCCATTACTAGCGTTGATTTAATAAGCATTTGATCCACCTGCACAATGCACCGGTGGTCAAAGCTCACGAACCCGCTACGGCTATTCCCACGCAGGTGAAGGAACCTCACCTTTCCTTTTCCATCCAGTTCCCTCATCGATTTCATCCACAATTCATTGTCATTAGAAACTTTCCATCTCAAACTGATCATCTCAAGGCATCCAGACCTCTCTCTCTCTCTGCCGCTGACTTCTTCGCGGCATGCTTCAGGCCTCGGTCGACACCGCTGTTCCCTTGAGCATTACACGGACACGGAGCCTTCGCAGAGCAAAGAATTCCGGGGAAATCTATCGCATCGCTTGTAATGGGACTACCTCGTCGACGCAGTGTTCGTCCTGTTGTTCATCCGTGTTGAAGGACTTACTTATGACCACACTGCTTTCTTTATGTATCGTTGCCTCCACTATGGATGGGAAATTTCGAGCAGAGGATGGTCCCCGAGCTGGTTGCGTCCTAGCGACCTGATTCGGCTCTTAAGGAGTTCGCTATAGGAACTTGCCCATTCGTTCCCTCGATTCCGCACGCAAAATTCAAGCAAAAGAGGACTCCCGTCCTATTGCGCGCTCTGCCGACTGGCCCTCGATCTATGGAGCACGCTATTGGAACTCCATTCCGGCCGAAACTCGAAACTTCAAGCAGATGACGTCTCTAGATATACTGGTAGCCTCCCAGCGACTTTCCCTCGTTCTACAAAGTACGCCGTAGCACGGCTGGTCCCGCCATAACCTATACCAATCTTTCTCGCTGTCCAGCCGATACCCAATCAGATCCCCTCAGGCTTTTTTAACCCACCCGGTCCGACGTACCCGCGCCTTCCATACTTGGCTCACACAAGCGATTTCTGTTCCGCCCTGAAGCGACTTGAGAGTTACGTAGTAGCCTTCCTCCGTAGCTGCAGATGCGTGAGAGGCTGCTACTCAAACGCTCAGTTGCGACGGGAGGAGCTAGAAAACCTTCGAGTCGGGTGGTGGGAGGCGCGGCGAAATCGGCATTGCGGAGGAGCGGTTTTAGGTGTTTGTGGGGATCTGATGGGGGAAACATGGCCATGGTCATATGAACTTTTTTTTTTGCTTTTTCTTTTCTTTTGATCTTTGTCATGTTCTTCAGGAATTGCTCAATTGGTTTGGTCATTCCGTTTGCTTGCCTGCTCTCCCGGGCGTTCTTGCTCTCCATTTTTGCGCTTCGCATTATGCGACGAATATAAACATGACTCGTGGTTCACGTGCTTCTTCTGAATGCTCAGTGTTTTGTAAGGTCGGAGGAGACCAGACTGCTACAGGTACGCCATATGCAAGATCGCATGTGCTGATTCCTAGCTAACACTTGACCGACATTCGACTGCCATCTGTCTGACTGACGTCCGACCATCTGACTGTGACACTCTCTAGAGGGGCATGGGCTGTTCTAGGCCATCTACTATACAGAGATGCTACAGCATAAGACACAAATCTATGCTCGTGGTATAGCTATAGTACAGGGGATAGTATGGAGTGCGGTACGGGTATATATAGTACGGGGTTCAGCACGCAGCCCAGAGTCCAAGTCTCCGCGACTCTCAAGAGGACGACGAAGATGACGAGGGAGAGCTCCGAGGAGACATGGAGGACGCCGGGGATGACAGTGTGATCGAGGGGACTTTCAGAAGATTAGGCGTTCGCGCAGGCAGAGAAAGAGTCAGGGGAGAATACGAGTTCGACGAGGCAACGGACATATCAAGCGTTGGCGAGAGGAATTTCGCAACACCGTCGAGGATAATAGCAACAGGCATTCCAACAGAGCACATGCTCGCGACGAATCGATCTCCCCAAAACCGCTTAGCAATGTGAACAGGCGGATGCCATAGACGTGATGATTGCTTACTACTGGGCACATCGGGATGTCGTCAGGACTTTGCAGACTGAAACCAAAGCGCTTGAGTTTCGTCGAGATCAAGGATAGACCCCCCTTCGTCCATGCTATATTTTGTTTTCCGCCCTGTGATGAGTTCGTATAAACAAGCATCTCCCAACTCTGTTAGCTCCTGCAACCGATTGGCAGTCAGCACATCTTGCAGGCCAGCCTCGGTTGGCCCAGACGAAAGCACTGTATCTTGCAGGTTACGTCTCGCTACCGATGACCTTAATGTGATTCGCCCTCAGCATCATCACGAGCGCACTTTACCTCACTACAAGCCCAGGAAGCAATTGATGAGTCCGACACGAAGCAAAGGGGACACGAAGTTAGCAATCAGCAGCTGAATCCAACGCTCGGGAAAGATCCGACGAGGCCCCGCCATCTTGGAAGCACCTCACTTGACCACCAGCACCACCACGCTCACCTCACCCCATCCACACCGCTACCGTGGCGCCCAAAGGTCGATACACGTCTCTCCTTCGTCGTCCGTTTGTTCTCTTGTTGCTGTCCTCACTGGCAATTGTGGCTCTCTACAGCGCCGTCCCGCGATTACGGGCGTTTCTGGGTCAGCTCACCAGACCCAAGGTAAGCGTGATCAGTTCAGACATGGGTCGAATAGCTAAAACAAATACCTGCTCAGGCGCCACTGGGCCTTCCCTTAAGCCACCCGCGACCGATCACGACGAGCACAGTCATGGGTTCCACCTTCAAGAAGCCGCCTCAGGCCCCGCCGGTCTTCACTCATACACCCGAAAGCTTGATCAGTAACACGGAGAGGCTTCTAGCGAAGAACAAGGCGCTGCAAGACAAGATCGTAAAGGAGGTGACTGCGGAGACAGCAGACTTCAAGAGCGTGGAGCTTCCATTCGCGCAGGATGACAATGAGATGGCACTGGAGTCGCACATTATCGGCTTCTACCAGGCTGTTTCGACCGACGCCAAGCTGAGAGATGCATCGACCGAGGCCGAGAAACTGATGGATGATTTCTCCATTGAGTCTTCGATGCGAGAGGATATCTTCAATTTGGTGGATGCTGCGTACAAGAGGCAAAAGGACGACACTAGCCTTGATGCGGAAAGCCGGCGATTGCTGGAGAAGGACCACAAAGGCTACATCAAAATGGGTCTGGGCATTCCCGCTGGTCCAAAGAGAGATCGTTTCAAGGCGATCAAGAAGCGCCTATCCGAAATCAGCATCACATTCCAGAAGACTCTCAACGAGGAGAATGGCGGCCTTTGGCTGACGCCAGAGGAGCTCAATGGTGTGCCTTCGGACGTTCTGGAGAACTTGCAGAAGGGTATGGAAGGCACGCCAAGTGAAGGCAAGCTTTGGCTCACCTTCAAGTACCCGGATCTCTTCCCGACGTTGAAGTACTGCAAGAATGCAGACGTGAGACAGCAGGTCTTCATTGCCAACGAGAACAAGTGCCCCGGCAACATTGAGCTCTTTAAAGAAGCGATTGTCTTACGTGATGAGGCAGCTCGTCTCTTAGGGTACCCAAACCATGCCACCTTCCGGATCGAGGACAAGATGGCAAAGACTCCCAAGACGGTCGATGACTTCCTTGGCGACCTGCGGAAGCGCTTGGCACCTGGCGGTCTCAAGGAGATTCAGAAACTGAAGGAGCTGAAGAAGGCTCAAACTGGCAACGCCGACAAGTACTTCCTATGGGATCACCGCTTCTACGACACTTTGATGCTGGAGAAGGACTATCAGCTGGATCAGCAGCGGATTTCAGAGTACTTCCCACTACAGACGTCGATCAACGGCATGTTGAACATTTTCGAGGAGCTCTTTGGACTCGTCTTCGTCGAGATCCAAGGCGAGCACCGCGATCAGCTTTCCACGACCGGCAAGGGAAGTGATATCGTCTGGCATCAGGACGTCCAGGTCTTTGCTGTGTGGGATCATGAGTCCGAGGGTGGCAATTTCGTGGGGTATCTATACCTCGACCTATTCCCACGTGAAGGCAAGTATGGCCATGCCGCCAACTTCAATCTGCAACCTGGCTTCATCAACGCGAATGGCACTAGGTAAGCGAAATACAGATCAGCAAGGCATTGTCCGGATACTGATATTTCGCAGGCGGTATCCTGCCACAGCATTGGTCTGCAATTTTAGCAAGCCGAGTCCCAAGAAGCCATCGCTGCTTAAGCATGACGAGGTGGTCACGCTCTTCCACGAGCTGGGACATGGTATTCACGACTTGGTCTCCAAGACCATCTACAGCCGGTTCCACGGCACATCGACCGTTCGCGATTTCGTCGAAGCACCCTCGCAGATGCTCGAGAACTGGTGCTGGACGCCATCTCAGATCAAGTCACTCAGTAGGCATTGGTCGTACCTCACGCCCGAGTACACGCAGGCATGGAACGAAAGCAACAAGGCGATCCCGCAGCCGTCGGAGAGCATGCCCGACGACTTGATCAAATCCATCATTGACACTCGTCACGTCAACGACGCGCTCTTCAATCTGAGGCAATTACACTTCGGTACCTTCGACATGACGGTCCACGAGGCCTCGTCCCACGACGCCGTCAAGCAGCTAGATGCATCTGAGACATACAACAAGCTTCGCAAGGACATCAGCAAGCTCGACGGACCCGAAGAGCTGGGCAAAGGCTACCACTGGGGACATGGTCAGGCTACTTTCGGACACCTGATCGGTGGTTACGATGCTGGCTACTATGGCTATCTCTCCAGCCAGGTGTACTCGGCCGACATGTTCTACACCATCTTCAAGAAGGATCCCATGAACGGCAGGGAAGGCCGTCGCTACAGGCATACCGTCCTCGAGCGCGGCGGCTCTCAGGATGAGATGCAGACCCTCGAGGAGTTCCTCGGTCGACCACCTAGCACTGAGGCTTTCTACCAGGAACTTGGGGTGGCTTGATCGAGTATTGGGATCATGTTGTTCGGCGGATATGTACGCAGCACAGGGGTGTGACTCTGCTCAAATTGGCGATAACATGGTACCAAAGACTCTCATGTTGAACAGAGAAAACTCTTCTGTGCAGATGTCCTATTTCAAATTGTATAGCATACCCATCCGTGAGTCGGGAATGTTCTGCTGACAGACTCCGCAGTGGCACGAAGAGAGTTCCTACGTGGAGAGATATTGCATCTCCAAATATCTATGTGAAGCAGAAAGGTTCCCTGCATAGCACAGATCTCGTGACTGACTTGTTTTGTTATTATATGCACCCGACAATCGACTCTGGTGAGTGACGGTGTCTCTACCGTAGACGTATGCATCGCCATCATGTACATACTCGCGCATCATCTGGCGCGTCAGTGTTGGCCGTAGACGGGGCCCCGCGGACATTGGTATTACCCGGTAAGTTGAAGGTTGCCATTGCCATGGACCAGGTTGTTGTGATGCAAAAGGGCAGAAAAACTCACGCAGGACAATCAGGCTGGAGGGAAGTACTTGCGATATGCTCAGCCTTCGACATAGCAGCGGCAGCCACACATGCCGTGGCAAGCACAGTCGTTGGAACGGTGTGTGATGTAGCATTCACGAAGTTGTCAACAGCACAGTGTCCGGACTGAAGGGCGAGAACCCATTCGCACGAAGTCCTTCGTCCAGCCTCAAGGCCAAGCGGATCAACAGGGGTATTGTCCTACATCGAAGCTTTGATCTGCTATGATTTCCAAGTCCAGAAGTGCTGCGACAGAAGCTTCTACTACCATTTTGGGAGACATCGCGGATCAGGAAATTTTCTTGGCATAGTATCTCTGTCTTTCTGTCTGAAGCTACATGTTGTTGGGACCCCGAAGAGGGAGGGCTGAGAGGCACAATCATCCATTGCTCGTGTCGAAAAGGTATCATAAAGCAGCCAAAAACACTCTCCAACGCCCATGATCTCGTCATGATCTCGTCAGAATCCTGCGGCAGAGAGGCCTTCGCAGCCTAATTCGTGTCCTTCTTGCCAAATGGCAGCTTGTCCTTGACCTTATCCGTGAACTTCTGTTTCTCGCCCGAATTCTGTGGACCGCTTGATGCACCTCCAGTGTTCTTGGCAGTGTTATTGGCCACTTCACCTGACATGACGTCAACCGAGACTGCCTTCCGAATGAGGAAGGAGCGCGAGTTTTACTTACCAGTGGGCTGTCCTTCTTTGCTGGAGACGCCGGCTTCTTCCGCAGCCGGCTTGGGGTTGTCTGGGACGATTTGGCTCTCCCCCCAGTGCTTATCGCCTAGCTTCTCGCCGCCAGCAGTTGGGATGGCATCACGGTTCTCCATCGTCCCTGGCTTGCCTCCTGCAGGCGCAGGCGGCTTGTGCTCGGAAGGCTCCTCGCGATCCTCGTTGGCCTTGTCCGTGTTCGCACTGATCTCTGCCGGTATCGTGGTAGTCTCAGCGGTATCTGACATCGTGTTGTCGGTCGTGCCTGCTGCTGTTGCGCTCTTGTCAGCCCCTTGCTCTCTGGGCTCACTAGTCGCAGCCGTTGATCTCGTCCCGTCCGGAACGGTTGAGTCGAGGACCAAAGGTCTCTTTCGGAGCAGGAGCGGCAGTCGTACCTTCTGGAATACCCTGAGTCTCGTGTCTCTGCTCCAGGGTGTCCTTGATGTATTCGGTGCCTTCTTGGTGGACTTCGTCTGCGGGCGCATCATTAGCAACGCTCGCATTGTCTAGCGTCCTGGCCTGAATGTGTCACGCTTACCCTGACTAACCGACTCTGCCATGTTGGTTGCCTTTGTGTGGTGTTTTCTGTCCAGAGGGCTTCGAGGAGTATCCGCGACTGAGAGCTTTATGTATGTCGGACGCAATGACTAGCTAGCTGTGCCGACGTGTGCGATAGCTGAAGGAGTAAGCACGACCTTTTCTTTTCCTGTTGTTGGTGGTGGCACGGAGGGGTGGAGAGTGGGGGAAAGAGGGGAGGGGTGCGTGGATAGAAATCGGGGCAAAGGGCGTCGCAGGTATGGCACCTACGTAACAGTGCTGCGGTTCTGGCGGCTAGGCGGGTGTTGCGAGCAGCTGACGAAGCGGAGGCGACGGGCAGAAGTGTCACGCAGGTGTCACCGTGTGTCAGTGTGCACCTTAATAAGTGCGCTCGAGAGTTGGAGCGTGTAGCTCGGAGGAGAGTTCACAGTAGTTGAGGGAGGACTGGATTGGCGAGCACTGACGTCAAGTCTAGTGGGAAGGGAGCTTGAACCTGGAAAGTCGACCTCACTTCTTGCCAACTCCATCCATCCGTTAAGCCATCCATCACACACTCATCACATCCAATCCAATTCCGTTACACGCATTCTGTGATTGTTGTGCACGCCATCGGGAAGAGCCGTCCATCCCACGCAGTACGTGTGGGGAGGGTCGGACGACGATGTGGGAATGCCTCAGGCTGACGCGCAATGACCAGCATTCGCCCGCAGATCTGACTAGTGAATCTGCAGGCCGCGCCTATCTCTAACACACGAGACATGCAGCCATCATCACCACCGACCAGAGAGACTGGACACTTCGAACCCTTCCACAATGATCAGGACTGCATCCGAATCCATGAGCAGAACCTGCGAGACTCTCATATCTCACGTCCCACACGTCTACATCGCTGCCCGAGGAAACGTATACTGGCATCGAACTGCCCATCTACCCAACTATTTATCCGCACCGATCATAGCTCGAATACATCTCATCGTCAGCAAATTTCGTCAGTAAATCGATAATCTTCCGATCCTGCTCCTCCCACTCACGATTGGTCTTGGCAAAACTGTAACATGACACCGGTCAGCACGACCATCAGCACCAACAAGGCGATAGAAACTGCACTCACATCGTGTCCCACGGATGAATACTCACTCCTTCATACATGCCCGTCCGGTGAACATCACTCGCACCAGTCCCCTGACTCTCCTGACTCTCCGGACCCCGACACCATTCCAAAAAAGTCTCACTCTCCTTCTTACTCCCTCCCTCCACACCCGCACTGCCACTCCCAACTTTCGGCCGCCTGTGCGAATTAAACCTCCCCTCCATCGCCACCACATCGTATCCAGCGTCCATGACTTTGCCGGAAATCACCAACTCCCCATTAGCCACCGTATCCGCCATATCCGCAAAGCACCTCAGACTGGGAAGGATGACCTCGTTCAGAGATACGGCGTCCATGGCCCAGATCATCGACTGGAGGTGAGGCGCGAAGCCTTCCCCCTTGGCGCAATTCCACGTCATGCCCACCAATTTCGTCACATCGTCCAGTCGGTCCATGTACGCATCGCTCCAACACACACTCCGCGAACTCGAAGGCAAGAAGGGACCCCTCAGGGACGCATTCATGAGGATGTATCGCTTGTACGCTCTGGCGAGGCGGGAATCGTCGGCACGTAACACTTCCCAGTAAGCTCCGAGATCCAAGCATGTATTCTCTCTCTCGATCACGCGGACGTTGGGAAGGTGGCGAAGCTCGGATGTCTCGACCGTATGCTGGCCGTTGAAGATGAAGATGAAATCCGCCTTGGAATGGAGCGCGTGTCGGCGGAAAAAGGCGATGTTCTCCCTATCAGCCAATCCATCCATCAGTAAGTAAGTAAGTAGCCCTTTCTTTCCCCCCTTGTATGTACATGCTGGAAGAAAAGAAAGGAAAGGTGTGTACGTACAGCGCCGCCTCACTCTCACTATAAGCATACAGGATCAAATCTTCATTCTGTCCAAACGCTCTCAATCCATGATCGGTGGTGGTGGTGCCATTCCAACTCTTGCGGATTCCACTGACGAAGTCCTGCAACACTCCGGGAATGAGGGCTTGGCCTTCGTGGTGCGGCTGCGAACGCGTGGGGTGGATGGTTGTGAAGAGGTACCAGCAGGAAATGGACACGATGCACAAAGCTATCACGGCGCCGAAGGGGATCTTTCGTGCGAGCATTGTGTTCGTTGTCCTGAGGAAGGAGGGTTGAGTTTTTGGAAGGATACGCGAAGTGAAGTCGAGAATGGACGAGCTTTCCATCCCCCTCTCTCATTCCTCGCGATCCGCTGTGTGACCCTTTCTCTCTCTCTCTCTCTCTCTCTCTCTCTCTCTCTCTCTCTCTCTCTCTCTCTCTCTCTATCTCCAGTCACACTCGCCGACGGCCCCTCGACTTTTATGCGAAATTCCTCATGCACTTCAGCACTCCAATTCCCTACCACAACCCATACATAGCCTTTCTCCTGACTGCCACAATGGTCGCCTTCTGCCTCGTCGAGGGTCGGAGACTTTTGCAGCAGAGTCTAGACCGTGTTGCATTCCAGCACTGCGGTCACACAAGCTCGGCTCGCTGTACCTTGCAGCTGTGATCAACGCCAGCCAAGCAATTCACATGCGCTTGCCGATGACTAAGCCGAGTGTTCGGCATGCCGAATATAACAGCGACAGCTATCCGTGACGCGGAAAAAAAGCGGGAAAGCGGTCCTTGTGTATGTACAAGAAAGTACCCCTTCAAAGGATGAACGCCGCAAGCACCATGCACAACATCAATCAATCAGCACTACCAATCAACCACCCACTCACTCGCTCCACTCTCCCAAAACTCATCACAAGCAGCCTTCAACCCAAAATTACTCCTCAGATCCTCGATCTTCAACGGATCCCTCGTCAGCGGATCCGTCGGACTCCGTTTCAAATGCTCATAGATCGTACTCCGCTCATACGAATGTCCATTCTTCGTGATGACGGGATCATGCATCGGCTCAAACGTAATCATATCAATCAGGTGATCCGGGATCTCGCGCGGTCTCTGGTTGGCGGGATCTGCGGATTCGAAGACGGAGCGGAGAGTGGTGGTTTTGGCGTTGAAGTGGGCGGCAATCTCTTCGCTGCGTTCGGAGGCTTCGACGGGGCCGAGGGTGCCGGCGTGGAGTTCTTTGGAGATGAGGTGGAGTTCGGCTTGACGCTCTCGTTCGAGGATTTCTTCCAGTTCGGCTCGGAGGTGGCCTTGTCGTCGGAGTCGCTCGCGGTCCCGCGCGGAGAATTTGGCCTTTTTGCAGGCTAGGACAAAGTGTGCGAAGGTCGGTAGGTCTGAGGGTGAGATTTTGGCGGATGGAGTTGGGTGGAGAACTTGATTGTAGGCCGTGAGAGCGGATGATAAGGCCTCGTGAGGGTGGTGTAAGGCGAGCTGTGCTTGCGCTACAAGGCTGTCAGCCATGTCAAGCTGAAGCTTTGTGATGCCGGGAACTTTCCAGTCTTCAAAACAAGAAAAGTGGAAATGCGCATCCCTTACCGAGAAAATAGAAAGCCTTGTGATTCTGCCCTCCCTGAGTGATATCAATCGACTTCAGACAATCATTCACAGCACCCTCCCACCGCTGCAATTTCAAGCGCACATTCGCTCTATTCGTGAAGATGAGCGGGTTCTGCGAGTATTTCTGGATGGCCTGTGTATATAATTCTTCTGCCTTGACAAAGTTGCCTTCTCTAAAAGCGGCGTTGCCTTGTTCTTTCAGCTTGTCGGCGAGATAGGAGGCCATCAGACGTCGCAGATGAGGTTACCCAAGAAGTATGAAATGAATAGAACGTTTCCAAAGTCAGGTTGGGTTGAAACCTTAAAGATAAGTGTTCGGATCCAAGACAAATGAGGTGGAGGACGTTGCGCAAGTCCAAGCGCAAGCACGGCCGATACGTGGCTGTGTTTCCGCATTGGGTAAGCGCAACTTCTCAAAGTTCTAGAAGTGAATGGAAGTGCAAGGCCAAGTCGCTTGCTTATGAAGCATCTTTGCAGTCTGCACAACTAACAACTACAAGTGCGGACAGATTACTGTTAGAGTAGATCGTCAGAACATAGGTATTGTCAGAACAGAGTGTGGAGTTTATGCGTAAATGAAAATTGAAGAGAAATTGACGCATTAGGCCTACTTCTCCCGACAGGCATCCCCAGCTTCACATGACAGCTGCTCCTGCATTGCCCCTGTCTTATTTGCCACGAAGATTTACGCCCATTCTAACCATCCAAGCCATCAACATCGATCAGACTGCTTTCGAATTGCTGCGCGAGTCGTTAACCATCAGCTTGACCAAGTCCTGTTTCGAGCGCCTCCGCTGTAAGGTAGAGGACTGTAGCACATATTTATATGCCCGCGCCCTTACCTCCACCTCAGGTATTCCTCCTTTCTTTGTACATACTCTCCCAACGTCAATCTAGCAGTCGTCCAAGATGGGGTACCGTCTCTTCGCTCTCTTCTCTCTTGCGTCCATCACGCTCGCATCCTTCGTCCCAGCGCTCCGCTCAGACTACCCTTCTGAGCCTCCAACTTGTACAGATGGCGGCCAACTCCACTGTTGCCAGGCTACTTTCTCCGGCAGTCTTGCCCCCGTCACGCTCGCGGCAGATCTAGCCTGTTATGAGTTGACTCCAGCAGTCGTAAACTGCATCATCAGTGAGGTCTACAACCGCTTCACACCAGGGCCACTTGGCTAATGCGAATATTTCCTAGCCGACGCCCCGACAGACCAACCTGACGGCTGCGTGGGCGAATATGCATGCTGCCAAGTTAATGACTTGGCACCAGTCATTGGGCTCTTCTGCAGCAAGCCGCCTGGAGGCTGTACAGGTTCTGAGGTGCGTAGTCGAAATGTGCTTCTACGATCGAGACTGATCTGTTCCGCTAGGGTGGTGACCCACCGCATTGCCTGGACGTTATCGACGATCGCTTTGGTCACTGTTCGCGTGACGACGTTAATAGACAAAGGACCGATCTTGGAATGGATTCGTTGGGCGGCTTGCTAGGTGGCTTATAACTTGCAGCCCATGCAAGTACTCTCTGTCAGTAATAACACTCAATTTAGTTCACGTCTGTTTCAACTGTCTCAGACCGTCCAATTGTGAGCTCATGTCGGGAGGCCCAATTGGACGCGAATGGGCTTCATAATAGTTCATAGTTGAGCAAGGAAATTGTCGGCTCATAGGATCACTTCCCAACGCTCATATGCTTGCAATGCTTCTGTCGCTTTTCCTGTACACGGCAGGTCCTCAGTTCATGCTCCGAGGGTGACTCTATCCCCTTTGTCCACTTGTGCCTGTCACCTCTCCAGCCTTGCCTTGATTCTTGCCCGCGCCTGGTGCAAGGGTCGGCTGATCCCCACCAATGCTCTGACTTTGCCGCGCTAGGCCACGATTCGAATCAGGAACGTGATGCGCTTCTTGTCGTCCCTGTTGGGTGAAAGCCTCCGGCTCCGCGGCATACTTCTTCAGATCCTTGTAGCTCACCACCTCCAATGCCTTGTCGTGTGAAGCATGAAGATGCACTTTGGGCACAGCTGCCTTGTCGAACTTCCCTTCTTCCGCGGCTCTCATCGCATCTGCGAAGTGCTGGGCTGCGAGGCAGGTTCGATCACCCTCTTTTAGTTTCTCGATATCAGGCGTGGCGTATTCGGATTTCGAAAAATGGGGCGTTATGGTTACGGCGATCGAATGGTTGTCCTTGTCGTCATCGCCTGAGCGGCAATAGCCATCTTTGTAGACGCCTACGGGAGGGTTTTTGGAGAAGAGAGCAAGCATGCCGCCAGCAACTGGGAATAATTATCAGCCATGTCCTGGAATATGATGCTGCGAGATACATGTAGTATAGTACCATTCTTGTGCTGCATCATCGGCTTCGTCGAGGTTTGAGGATTGGCCATTGCGGTGGTAGTTAGGAGGGCGAATTGGGCAATGCTAAGGCGGTCGAAACAATGGTATAGCTACGATAGCTGTAGGTAAACGTTTGATGGCAGAGAAACTCCTCTCCAGCCATCGTGGAACTTTGCTGCGTGTGGTGATCTCATGCCTTGACATCACCATTACACTCGGTCAGCCAGACCAAAACGCTGCAGGAACGGCTCGTGTTGTCATCGAACTCCAAGCAATCGACGCTAATGCAGGTACAGCCGGCTGCACCCGTCTCCGCCCGATGCCGGGAGCTCAAGCACAGCAGGTCAATCACATGCGAATCCGACTTCACTTCTTGACACTCACACCTGTCAAGACCGTAACTAGCGACAGCAACGCTGCTTATTCTCTACCGACTTCATATGAAACTCCACGAGCTGAGCAAATCAGTGTCGAATCGAGGCACTTGGCTAACTATCTGGAGGGTCTCCCATCATCTGCTATCACACCGAAATTGCGAGCAGCTTATAGGACAGCATCACCTCCATCACTCCGGAGCGCTTATCTTGAGGAGCTTGATACTCATCGGCGCCCTCAACGGAGTTCTCAGCAATGACCTCTCCGTGGCCCCCACCGTTGTCTTCGGCAGCGATCTCCGCTAATCCAGCTATACCTTGACCACCGAGAAGTACCAAAGCTGTAGATATGTGCACCCTTCAGCGCCCTCTTTGAGCAAGACCTGTGATGCACACACTAACTACCCAAAACCTCCAGTGGCTCCACTGGGCAGAAAGCACCCACTACAGCAAGCGATTACGGCTCGTAGAGAATTCGGGACCTGTTGTCGTTGTCAAAACTAATCGCTTTCGCTACTCCGACTTGCCCTACCGAACCGATCTCTTCTCCATCTGCGGACGGACGACAGCCAGTCGTACATGGCTTCCCCGGGCCAGACACGGATGCATCAACGTCCGCGAAGTCCGAGCATGCCAGTGAAAATCATATCCACTGCCTTATCGATGGAGATGTCACTGAACCAAGGCGCTTGCTCCTTTGACTCCGCTTTGGTCTGCATTAATCGTCAACCCGTGGATCTATTCAGGTGACTTTTGGGTCGAAGGCACAGGAAGTTTCCCTGCGCCACTGATGAGGCAGGTTGCTAGCAGGCCGCGTCGTCGTGACCAAGTCACACCACCGATGGACAAGAAAACGGGGCACTCTGGCACGGGATCAATCATCACGGTGGACGCATAGTGGAACTGCGATCTGGAGAAGATCTGTCGCACCTCCTGACGAAGCGTATTATCGTCGACCACATCGCCCTGCAGGCGTGCGTGGCTCCGATCGGGGACGACCAGCGGTTCAGCACTGGAGTTGTTATCATGGGTGCAGATCATGGGCAACGAAACAAGCCGATGTCACAATGCTTACAGCTCTGCTCTTCTAGCTCCGTCGGACGGGATACATTACGGAGAGTCGGGTGTGCTGCAGCAGCGCGTGAGGACTAAGCTTCGTATCATTGTGGAGAAGAAGGAGTCGTCTGTGGCAATGGAAGGTAGGGAGAGGCATCCATACGTGATGATTCTACCTCTACATGGTGGCAAAGGAAGAGGAGAGGAAGAGGTGACATTCTCTCAAATTCATCATGTTCAATGGATGTCGTCGATGCCAGGTCTTTCGATGACTGACTTATTGCCTTCCCTTTGGCCTCGATAAGCTATGAACAAGAATGAAATTGAGAGAACACCGCTGAGATCAGAATGGATCAAATGATTCTGATCTTCAATGCTTCGTCGTCGTCGTCGTCGTCGTCGCATTACTCGTAGCAGCCTGATACGCACTTTTAACACCCGCCTCGAGCGCCGGGCTGACTTTGCCAAACTGTTCCAGCAGCGCGGCCAAGACCTTCTGATTATCCACATTCACCAAGGTACCCGCGATATTCCCGTACAGATGCTCCTTGTCCGTCTGCGAAAACCCTTGATAGAACAACCGCGGCTGCTCGTAGTCGATATCCTCGTCAATCACGGATTCCCAGTGGACCGTCGTGCCGTTCAAGTCCTGCTCGATGACGCTGCCGGCGCGCTCGACCACGTTGATGGGGTCGATGTACTCCGCGGGGAAGTTCTTGCGGGACCCCTGGTTGCCGTGCTGGGTGAGGTGGCCGTCGCGGTCGAAGTTGGCGACGGAGGCGAAGGGGCAGTTGACGGGGACGTCGTCGACGTTGGCGCCGACGCGGTAGCGGCCGGCGTCGCCGTAGGCGAAGAGGCGGGATTGCAGGACGGGGTCGTTGGAGGGCTCCCAGCCGGGGACGGTATGGCCCGGGGAGAAGTGGGACTGTTCGATCTCGGCAAAGTAGTTGTCCGGGTTCTGGGTCAGGGTGATGCGGCCGACTTCGTGGTATTCGGCGTCGGGCCAGTCCTTGGTGAGGTCGAGGATGTCGTAGCGGTACGCGTCCGCTTCGGCCTGGGTCTTGGTGGCGATGCCGACGGTCCAGGAGGGGTAGTTGCCGTCCTGGATGTTGTTGTAGAGGTCCAGCGTCGCCCAGGCGTCGTTCTCGCCCGCAATCTTCTTGGCCTCGGCGTCGGTCAGGTTCTTGATGCCTTGGTCGGTGCTGAGGTAGACGCGTGCGTAGACCCAGCTCCCATCGTCTTGGACGAGCTTGTAGGTGTGGCCGCTCCAGCCATCCATGTGGCGAAATCCATAGGGTGTGCCAAGGTCGGAGAAGAGCCTCAAGAATTGAAGCAAGGCTTCGGGGAATTGGGCGGGCCAGGACCAGAAAGTGTTCCAGTCTCGTGCATTGGTCGCGGGATCAGTCTGTGTGAGCAGCACCACGGCTGTCAGCTCATGTCATCATTACACATGCGGTGTTATTACACTGTAATAACACATGCGGTGTCGTTACACTGTAATTACACACGCGGGGTCGCTACACTGTCATTACACATGCGGTATGTGATGTGTTTCGTGTAGCTCTCTCGCACGTACCTTTTGTGTGTGGATGAACCTGGGAAATTTGACGGGGTCGCGGATGAAGAAGCTGCGCTACCCAGTAAGCCTGCCTGAGCTTATACTCCGCAGTAGTGGCCCCCACCAAACGCGGCAACTGAAGAATAACTTACACCGGAGTGTTGTTGAAGACCCAGTCGAGGATGCCCTGCTTGGTGCGCATCTTGATGGCGAAACCTCGAGGATCACGCGCCTCGTCGGGAGAGCCGCGACCACCTCCGACGGTGGAGAAGCGCATGGTGACGGACGTCTTGGTTCCCTTCCTGAAGACATCTGCTGCGGAGAGCTTCTCGGCAAAGTCGGTGGTGACCTCGAAGACGCCGTGGGCTCCGGCGCCTCGCGCGTGGACGATTCTCTCCGGGATCCGCTCGCGGTTGAAGGTGGCCAAGGTGTCGAGCATGTGAACATCCTGGAGAAGTAATGGTCCCCGCTCACCGGCCCGCTGGGCACCGAGAGGCTGGAAGTAGGGCTTGCCATTGCGCTGGGTGTAGGTGAGATCGGAATTGTTCAGCGAGGACTGTTCCTGCTTGAGGTTGGTGCCTTGGAAGAGGTCGGTGGTGTAGGCACTGCCTGTCTTGCCCGAAGGAGGAACGGTGACCCTCTTCAACGTGCTACCGCTACTTGCAGCACCCAGGACTGGACCCAGTAGAAGAAGGGCGAGGGCCGTGAACTTCATGGCTTCCGGTCGGCAGGGCACACAAGAGGGGAGCGAGGGAGATGCTGGAGGCGGGAGGAGACATGGCGAGGAGGCGCAAAGGGCTCTTTATTATATCACTACGCGATTGCCTGCCCAATCTACATGCTACTGATGGAGTACGGATCTAGAAGGATGGAAGAGGCGGAGGACAGGCATTGCAAGACCAGAGGTGCTGGTGTCGGGATGGCGGATGGAGATGGAAGGCAGAGGACAAGGTGTACGGGACCAGGTGAACAGGGGCTGTGAGAAAAGCGAGATGGATCAATCACGGTGGCAGCATTGTCATCATTGCCTTGTTTGGGGCAAACGGCACCGAGGTCTGTAGGAGTGTGAAGCAGAGAGCCCTGCCTACTGCTTCGCGTATTGGCATATGATATGCCAATACGGGTAGAATAAGCCGAGGGACAAAAGGGACGAGGCCACATTTGATGAGAGATGGCATGAAAAGCCCATCAATTCTCGGTGGTGTGAGTGTGCTCGGTGGGCTTCCAACCTTCAAGGTTAGGTTATCGGCTGGTCCCCACTTCATCTTCTCCTTCGAACAAGCGCTAACCTGAAGAAGTAATTAATGCGGGCCTGAGGTCATGTGGGCCGGAAGTCCGTGCAGTGCAGGCTCGCCTAAAGTCACCCGTCAGGTCTCGCCGTAAATCATCCAACAATTCTCCTGTCTAATTAGCAGTAGCAGTAGCAGCATTCCAGTCTTCCACTCCATTCCATTCGCTTTCGCATTCGACACGTCGCAAAACAGATTCCCATTCTCCCTCGTCGTGCTACCAAGGTAGACTGGAAACATGACAGGCTCTTGTTCTGTTCAGTCGTGATTATCATACCTGTTCATCAGTCGAAAAACTCTTCAGTCATGAATACACCGCTCAGTCGTTTAAAGGCCGCGATTCGGTCCTTACAACTTCGCTCGCGCCTTTCCCACCCCACCACCGTCCTTCAGCTTCTCCACCTCAAAGTACGGCAAAAACAACCTTAGCACCCGTCTCTCCTCGGCCGTATATTTCCTCGTGCCAAAGGCCAAGGCCGTTTCCCCAAGCGATTAGACACTCCTCAAGGGCATCTCTAGCTTCTTGCCGTTCGCATTGTACGGGATCACGCCATCCACCGCGGGCAAGGGGAAGTGCGGCACGTGTCGTCGACTCAGATCCTGCTGGATGCCATCGCGGATCCGCTTCACTAGCTCGGGTCGGAGTTTCTTCGTCTTCTTCTGCTTCTTCTCATCCCGAAGCAGCAGGAAGAGACATACCCGTTCGCTCTCATCCTGTCGTCGTCGTTGCTGACCGACGCAGATGGAATCCAGCACTTCTACCTGGGCCACTCTCTCCAGCACCGTGTCAATCTCCCTGCTGCCGGAGCGAATCCCCGACGGGTTTAGCACTCCATCCGAACGGCCGAGGATGGTCAATCCCTTCGTATCGGGATCGATCTTGACGTGATCGCTATGCGTCCACACGTGCGCAAAGCCTTCGAAACATGCCGCCCGATATCTCTTTCGCTCTGTATCGTCGTTCTAGAACTCAGCGGGCATGTTCGGGAATGGCTTCTTATATACCAGCTCCCCGGCTTCGCCCAAGGGAGCGGACTTGCCCTCGGGAGTAAAGACGTCGACGTCCATCCCGAGGCATTTGAGTGCGGTCTCTCCCGCGTACGTAGGCAGCGTTCGACTGCCATGGAGGATTTTGCCGCACAGTTCTGTGCCGCTCGAGGTGGAGATTTGGCATGCGGTGCTGAAATTCCGGTAGATCTAGAGGGATGTCTGCTTGGTTAATAAGAGCGCGCTGGTAGAAGGGATGTGCGTAAGGTTCTGACTGTAGGCAAGCCTATTAACGTTAGCCTTTTACAATTCCGTGAAGTATCGCGGTCCTACTCCGAAGGATGTTACGCCCGTAGCTAGTACTAATTTTAATCGTCGTTCTAGTGTTGGATAGAAGGGCGAGCCGTCGTAGAGGACGATTGTAGCTCGGCTTGAGAGTACTGCGATCATGATATTCCACAGTGTCCAGCCGATGCCGGCGTAGTAGTAATGGACGGCCGTGTCCTCGTGGTCGTAGTTGAGCAAGTGCTCTTCCAGGCCGTTAATCACCAGACCTCCCTGGGAATGGACGATGCCCTTCGGTGTCCCCGTCATCCCCATGGAGAACATGACCACGAAAGGCGTGTAGAAGGGGACCTGCTCGTATTATAAGCGTAGTCCGGTATCCCTACTATAGAAAGACGTAAACGAAACCTAGCCTCTAGGCGTCTTCTTCTCTATACTAATAGTCGTAGCTCCCTTAGCCTAGAAGTGGTGGTAGTAGTGGCATGATTTCCTACTTTTGGTTTCCTCTCGTTCGTGGTGCGAAATGAGGTGTTGTGTTAGTGTCTCGGGTATAGTAGATAGAGGTCCAGGTACATGGAAGGGAAGGGCAAGCTGTAGATGTCCATAGCTCTTGACATGACTGCTTTGCCTTCGCGGTAACATTAACTTTCGACTTGTACCTCTGCCCCGTAAGAGGAAACACATCTTTGGGACGAGACGAGCGAAGGAAATCCGTGTGCCTTTTCACCGCAGTACTGAAGCTATACTTATCAAAACATGTCCAATAATTCTTCTAAAGGCTCGGGGTAATCTGCTGTCCAGCAGCTTGGGGCTGCCGAGTAGCCGAACAGATGGCGTTGATCGCTTCAGCAATATAGACGACATTGCCCTCGTTCAACCCTGCGACGGAGATGCGCGAGCTATCCGCCATGTAAATCGAATACTCGTCTGGTGGAGAGCAGAGAGGAGTTAGCATGATCGTAGCGCGCAATGGATTTGGATCAACAACATACCTCGAAGCAAATGCACTTCGCCGCGAGTGAGACCTAGAATCGTAAACATGCCAGCTTCTTCAACGACATGGTCAAAGTTTTTAGGACAACCTTTTTTCCAGCAAACCCCACGTCAGCAAGAGAGTCCAAAATCACAAAGACAACCGCAATCATATCAGATGAGAAACTTACCAAGCCGCTTCAACTCCTCCACCAACCGCGCCCTCATAGCCTTCAACCTCAAAGTCATCCCCCTCAGATCCTCCTTCCAAGACCCCCTCAATGCCTCATCCCCCAGAACCTCCGCCGCAACCCTCGCCCCAAAAGCCGGCGGGTTGGAAATCTCACTCCTTATCAACCATTCCAAATGCGATTCCACCACCCTCACCTCCGCCTCCGAAGTGGTGACGAAATGCAAAGCCCCCGCACGTTCACTGTAGAGGCCCATGTTCTTCGCAAAACTCACGCACACGGCGATTTCCATGCCGTGGGAAGCGAAATGGCGAATGGCCCAGGCGTCGGCGTCGAAGTCCCCGGATGTAAGACCGAGATAGGCAGCGTCCAAGAGGGGGAAGAGTTGTTTGGCTTGCATGATGGAGCGGATCTGAGACCATTGCGACGGGGAAGGGTCGCAGCCACTGGGGTTGTGAGCCACGGCGTGGAGAATGAAAATGTCGCCCGAATGAGCGTTCTGGAGAGCGGTGAGGAGGGAGGAGAAATCGAATCGGCCGGCGGAATCTAGATATTCGTATGATTTTACCGGGAAACCGACGGTCTCGAAGACGGCGCGGTGGTTGCTCCAGGTGGGATTGGTGATGTGGACGGTGGTGGTAGAGCTGCATACACGTCGAAGGAAGGAGCCTGCTAGGTGGAGAGATCCTGTCCCTGAAAGTGCCTGAGAGGTGGCGACCTAGAGTGTTGTTGTTAGCTTGATGATGGCGAAATTTCCCGAATTGCGTAGCATCGCACTCTGTTTTCTTTCACAGCTGCAGCATCTTCGCCAAAGACCAGTTTCTTCGCTTCCTCGCGAAATGCAGGATAGCCCAGAATGGGAAGATATTCGTGATAGCTATTCAGAAGTCGCTCTTTCGCGGTCTGTACGGCAGGGAACACAAAAGGCTTTCCTTCATTGGTCTTGTACGTTCCCTGGCCAAGGTTTGCTTTGTTCGGGTTCGGATCACGATTGTATCTTTCGTCTTGCCATCAGACACCATCCACTGACAGTGGTAGGGAGGGAACATACAATGCAGTGACCTCGAAGATGTGATCTGGAGCGATCTGGGATAGGCCGTTTGATAGCATTTTGTGGGAGTACGAATTCCTTGACAGAGGCAGGTCAATTTGACGTGCGTCGAAGAATACTTTTGACTGTCTGTGACTGTGAGGTGAGTCGTCGAAATGAAGTTGGAAAGCCTCCGTAGCGCATTGAATCCCGGCTAGACATCCAAATTCCCTGCTCGTCGGCCAAGTCTACCTTCGCCGGCCGCCCTACAGTCACATCCACGAAATTTTTGCCGGGAAGTCGTGCGAGCCCTGACCGGGAAGCTGCCAATCCATTTGCCCTATCGCGAGCCTCAATCGTTCGTAGTGTGCGCCAGAACATCGAGTGCATTCCTCCGCTTCTATCCAGGAGGAGCTCCGTAACCAGACATCGAGATCAAAAAGCGCTTCACTCAAATCGGCAGGATTCCCTCTATATTTGACAGTGTAGCCGTCGATCTTCTGTTCCGTCTCGCCATTCTTGATGCGAATCCAGCAGGACGCAGGATGTGATGCGCCTTCGTTTTCGTAGTCTGGCAATTTCTTGGCGGTTGCCTCATCAGGCACTTCGAACATCGAGCCGTGGACAGTCTGATCCATCTACTAGAGCTGGGTACTGGTCCCATAGCTGCACTGCAATAAGTGTCCTGCTAGGAGCGCTGGCTGGAAAACCGCTTAGTACACCAGGATCTTGAAGCGTGCCGTAGAAGAAGTATTTGCCAGCCGGAGGGTCAATGAAGGCCCCGTCGGGCTCTGCGACATGATTGAAACGTCCTCAATGGAGCGAGGACTGTATGCAACACGCTTTGGGCTTTCAGTATCCGAGCCACTTTCAAGCCGGCACAGAACTCTTCGAGAGGTGGCCACTCTTTATGCAAGAACAGTCCAAACTCGCGCACTGCCTCAAACGCCTTTTGTCTATCCTTGTCCGACTCTGGGTTTCCCTCCACGGTTGTTTCTATTAGACCTCTTTCTTGACCTCGAGACATTGCGTGTTGTATATCATGTGCGCTCCGTCTCACGCGATCCTTTGTGGCTGTCATGTATCTCCTGCATTATTTGCTCTGCAAGATGCTTGTTGTGCTATAGAAGATCCATGTTATCTTGCTGACGTTGCGACATCCTTGGTGGATCCTCTATTGGTTTGAAAGGCTTGGGCGTCTCTTCCATCTCATCGCTCGATTCGTGTCACAGTCGGTTCGTCGAGGCCGCTCGGTAGGTGAACGACGGAGCTCCTGGTCGAGAAGCAGGCGGGGCGAATCGAAGCCGGGCGCATCGTGTCGTCGTGCAGCTTGTTGGTGTGATTCTCTCCATTGTTCAGGGACATGTGCACCTAATAGTAAGCCAAAGGACTTCTAACATTGATGGAGAGGTTCACAGGGACCCAATTCTGGTCATTTTGGACCACCTTCCAGATGCCGCCGATAGATAAGTTGACAGCGTGGAAAGGGAATGAAGATACGATGAAATGTGAGTCTCAAGTAAGTCGAGGCAAAGCCTGCACATACAGCTCGACCCAAAGGGTGAGGAAATTTTTCCAGTTAAGCTTGCCCTGGGATGGTGCTGACCGAAGGATTTGGCCGAATACACCCAATTCTCTCTGAATGCTAGGCCGTTCCAGTAATCCTCGACTTGACTACTCCCTTGGTCTGACACGCCCGAATCCATCCATAGCCTGTTTGTCTGGAGCCCGTCGCAGGAAGGAAAGTATCGCGGCTGCAGTTGTGAGACAAGTCTGGGAAAGCGATCTGGTTCCAAAGACTGGAGATGATACGGGTCGAGCATGATGGCACGATATCGTTGAGTGGTCGGAGAGAAGCCACATTCAAAGTTTTCATGTTAGGAGCGAAGTGAAGCGTGGGAGTTCACTATGCGAACTCCTTGGGCCAGCACTTCTCCTTCGTCCAAGCCTCAGGATGCGTACTAGCGTGCTGCTCAAGAATCTTCAGATTCGTGTTGTCCTAGACCGTGTCAGGTATAAACCCAGCCGGGTCCACCATGCAAGTACACTCACAAGCTCCTTTCGACAGAAAGCACATATCGACTTGGGCTTCGCAGCCTTGACGGGCGTACCGTTCGCATGCACCTGGATGCGAGTTCCGGCCTTCTCAGCCTGCTTGTGCTCCTTCTTGATGCGGTCTTTCTTGGTGATGGGCATCTTGACCGTCGATTCTCTCGTTGAATACGTGGTAGTGTGTAGTTCGACGACGGCTCGGAGTGGAAGTATTGATGCAGTTATGATAGACTTCAAAAGTTCGATAAAGAGAAGACGCGGTCGACGCGACGCGAGAAAATCGCGCAGGCAGCAAGTGCACGGACGCCAAGACATCACGTGCTACACTAGCTCACTCACTCACATTGAGTCGCTAGGAGGACAAGCATGTGACACACTAGACGAATTCCAGAGTGGACAGAGTCTGGAACGCGAAAGCGAGTATACAGCCTATGTTCGCAGCAAGGCGTAATTGCCTTCCCGAGAACCCTCGCATAATCCAAGGCCAGCGAGTCCCAATAGCGCAAAATCAACGATAGCAGCCACCGAGATAACACTTTGATGTGCGAAGACGTTATATCTAGTCTTCCTCTTCCACCCTTATGCACATGCACGCCATGAAACCCAAGACAAACAGGCCGCCCAACCTACGTTCTTCTAATCTCCCTCAAAGTCCTCGCATCAAGGCACAAAAGATAACTGCTCCCAATCTTCCCATCGAAACGAACACTCAAAACAAGCCCCTCATCCTCCTCTTCTCCATCAGGTCTCGCAACAAATCTCGGTTCCGAAGGCGTATGATCTTCGCGTTCTCAAATCCAATTACTCTCCACTAATAGCATCCCAAAGTGTAGACCTCCCTCGATCAATCAAGCTCCAGTCGTAGTTGTAGACGTCGCCTATCACCGGGTCGTATTTTGGATGGGCGCCGGACAAGCGACCGGAGAGGTCGGGATGGAGATGTCGTTGAAAGCAGCGGCATTTAGCCAATAGTCAAAATGCTCAGACGCGGCAGCTCCAGCCAGCTTACTGTGAGCGCCAGCACTCGGTATAGGAAGTGCACTATGTCTGTCGACGTGAGCGAGGTTGCTTCAGGCAGGAAGTAAACGAAGCCCGACCAAGCAATCTGTGCTCTGAATCGACACCCTTCCCTCAGGTGAAACCTGTTGGCTCGAGGAGTTCGATTCGTTGAGGAGGCTCCATATCGACCACCAGACGCGCGAAGAGGCAGGCAATCTGTATCTTATCCCGTCCCGTGCAGTTTCGTGACGTCTCATGGTACGCTTGCCTCGTCGCGCGAAACCCACTCATCCATTCTTCTCAAAACCCACAGAAAATACATCGCATTCGTGGCCGAGAGCGATCAAAGAAAAAAAAAAGGCTGTTGGAAGTTATCATAAACTGGCCCCTACGAGAATTTTACCTGCGACATGTTGGTTTTCTAATAATTCGCTCGCTGCTTTTCAATGGTGAACTGAAGAAAGCAAGTGTTGAGTGAACCCTTCCCGCACTCGCGTCTGTTTTGTTTGGGAAAGCAGAGTTGCGAAGCGGGAGAGCATGGACACATATGGAACATATAATACAGACAAGCGGTCCAGATTGTCTGTCGCCTGTCTGCAAATTGGAGACTGCTCTCCCTCCGACTCGGCGCTGCGCATCTTTATTAGAGCAAAGTTAACGGAAACCCCTTTGTGATGCTCCACGGCGAGGTAGATACAGAGCTCCCCCGTGCAGCTCAGAAGCGGTGCCGTGATAATAGCACTCTCGATATCGATATCGATATCGAAATCAAAAGATGAAACAGATCGGTCTGTCTGCGGCCGAAGTCTGATAACATTTAACACGTGTTGGCCCACCTCATCATCAATATCACATGCCGTTATATCACACCTTTAAATTTGTTGTGGAGTGCTGCAGGCTGGCTCCGGGTGATGAGCGGGAGGCGTACCGGATGTTGGATGATGATCAGTGGAGTTGTTGCGGTTGCGTAGTATGGGGTTCTGGAGAAGGTTCTGGAGAAGGTTGGCTTCCCAAGTTCCAAGTTGGGGACGGCGGAAAGTGGAAGTGGGGAGCCAGCTTTTTGCGTTTGCGTTTGCGTTTGCGTTTTGCATTGGCTGCACAGCTGCAGCACAGTAGTGGCTGGCAAGCTGGGTGAGAAGTTGGGAAGTTGAGGTGGGAAGTTTGGGACTTGCCGAGGTGAGTCGTCTGTTCCTTCCTTCGTGTCCGCCTTCCTCCCGTCGAAGGAAACCGCGTCTGGTGTGAGTTGGGGTCAATGGCTAGATACCATACCTTTAGCCGTGATAGACTGTGGCACTACTGATGCCTTGAAATCTTGGTATCGCGTTCATTTATTGATTGATTGATTGATTGATGGATTGATTGATCGATCACATCTCAGTCGCGCCTCATGATTCACCCCTATGAGTAGGTGCAATGGGGGGCTCTCCCCCCTGCTGTTCTCTCGCAAAGATCCATAACAACAGCTGCCTATTAGCAGCAGTTCGAAAGAGAAGAGTAATGATCCATGCGAATGCCTGTACTTTGTTGATGCTGAGCAAACCAATGCTACCTTCCTTCCCCATGAAACGCCATCCCACAAGAATCCAAACTTCGCCCCTGCGCAAAACACACTTAAGTTGTCTCACATGGTGAGGGTTTCCATCCCCATTGCTTCGACTCAGCAAGCACAAAGAAGAGAGCAAATCAAAAAGCAGAACCACAAGGAAGAAAATAAAATGATAGAAGTGCTATTATCCCTTCAGAGTGCCGGCCCGCAGTCGCAAGTCGCGTACCCAACCTGTCACAGCACAAAAGTACCTCAGCGATCGTACAAAAAAGCCGCTTCTCCCTTCCCAAAATCCACCCCCCATACGCAAAAGTTGGTTGTGCGCCGCTCTAGCGTCTTTCGCTCGCCAGACGCCTATTTACATGCTGCCGTCTCGGGTTGGTTTGGTGTAAATGGGGAAAATATCGTCAGGATGCTTCATCATCATCATCATCATCCTTCCTCTTCCTCGCCTGTCTCCGCCTCCTTCTCCCTGTCTTTCCGTTCTTGCTCCTCGCGCGCCTTGGCTTCTTTCTCTTCCGCCTCCTTTTGCGCCTTTTCCGCTTCTTTCTGAGCCTTTTCGGCTTCAACACGCGCCTCTTCGAGCATCTTCATCTTCTCCTCCGGCGATCGGTGCTCCCACGCCGCGGTATCCTCGTCCCATTTCCGCACGCACTCCGGGTCCCAATTGCAGCGCTCGACCTCGCCGTACATGGGGTGGTTGAATCGGGGATGGGCGGTGGGCCAGCCGGAAGCGTGGTAGTGGTGCTTCACGAGCGCTTGCCGACCTTCGTGGGTGCCGGAATCAGAATGGCCTTGGCCTGCAGCGAATGCCTCGACAGTCAGTACCAGAACGCCGCCTACGAGCTTGGACTCGTTGATATCGTGGAACTCGTCCCAGGTGACCGGACGGCCAATGCGAACGGACATGTCGTCCAGGATGGCCCGCGTGAAGGCGGAAGGACCGGTGCCGCTGATGACCTGGTCGAAGTCCAGCTCGATTTCCGAGACAGGCTTGTTCTGCTCCAATGCTACGTTACGCAGCCACAGCATGATGTGCTCGATCAGATGGAGCATGACGGGCAGTCTCGGTTTGCACATGAATGTCCACTGGCAGAATGACATGCTCTTGGAGCCCAGGACTGGATGGTCCTTGAAGTCTGGCTGGTCAATCTCCACGCCAACCACCATCTCCACATCTTTCTCGGCCCATCGCGAAGGAATGAAGTGGTCGGCGGGCTTGAGCGCTTCGACGTCGATGTCGGTGTAGATGCCGCCCTCGACGTACATGATCATGTACCGCAGCAGATCGGCCTTGATGATACGCGCGGTCAGCTCGCGGTACATGAAGACGATGTCGGGTCGGTTGAGGCCGTCGGGTCCAAAGTGCGTCTCGACGTAGGCCATGTCGTTCTGATCTGTCAGGACCTCGTATCGGTATTCGGGGTTCTTCTGGATCCACGTCTGGGCGGTGTTGTGATCTCGCTCCTCGAATCGCATCGGGTCGACTTTCCACGTCTGCCAGATCTTCCGCGGGAAGTGTGGCTGCTTCTTCTGCCACATCTGCGAGTTGACATTTCGAAAGGAGCCGGAAAAGAAAAAGAGGAAGAGTATCACGGCCACGCAGGCGGGTAATATCCTCTGCAGTTGCTTGGGCATGCCAATCTGCGGTACAGAGAACTTCTTGTCGGGCGGTGCGCCCATGTTCAACCGGAGCTTCTCTGGATCGCTAGTATTGATGCTGCGCGCATTGGTGCGACCCATCACATCAACGACAGATCTGTAACGACAGACGGACCCCGGTGGGATTGGAGGAATGCGGGTCAGGGACAGCAGCGCTGCATGTGAGGGACGTGGGCGTGGTGGGTTGGCGGCGGCGGCGGCGGCGGTGGTGGGGGTGGTGGTGGTGGTGATGAGTGAGGTGATGCAGAATGTATAGGAAAGGGGCACGACAGGAGTCGCAAGCAAGGCCAAGCCAGCAGCGTCGTGTGGGAAGAAGGAGTGGATGGACGTGTGGATTGGATGGGATGGGATACGGGTAGCGCGGTGAGGGTCCGGCTCTCAGTTGCTGCCGTTGAATTTGGGGCGATATATGGCGAAAGGAATTAGCTTGAGCGGGCCGACCGCTGGAAGGCGAGTTGTACGGGTAGACAGGGCACTGGGGCAAATTATCGACCGGAGGCTGCCACCGCTGCTTATTGCAATCCTTCCTACTGCAGGCCGATCGTGTCGCCCAACTTGGCCTCGGCTGGCGGACCACTCAGAGCAGTGCGGCACACGGAGGCGCTGCCCACCAGCCGCCGTCTGGACTCACGGCGACGGCGTGCCTCGGACGACCACCTCCTCCCCGTGCTGCCACCTTACTGCGACTAGGGTAGGCTAGCCGTGCATCCTGCGCCGCACCGGACGACGTCAACGACGCATGCGCATGTGTCGACGGCTGGCTTTGATCACGGTTTGTGGTTGCAGGTGCCGCGTCGGCAGCAGGGTAGGTGATGCAGAGTGCGGGGGCGCCAACATCGACCATTCGTGTGCATTGCATTCGTCCCCCACTGCACGCACACAGGCAAGGCAAGACAGGCACACACTGCCACCCTCCCAGGCACACAAGCACGGCACGCACCACAGGGAGTAGCGACGTACGTACCTACGGTTGGGATGTGCAGGCACAGCAGGTCCCATCGCGTGGTGGAGCTCTGCACGCAGGAACCAACTGGAACCCGTTGTGGACGTTTGTTCGAACCCGCGGATTTCGCACTGCTGCCGGCGGTACCCCCTCCCGATGGGGAAAGCCGCCTGGTGCCCTTACGCATCTTTTCATAACCACACCACTCTAGGGCTGCTATATTTGCGCGCTCCGGAGACGGCCTACCGGATAATGGTTCCTGTTCCTGCCGCAAATTTCCGGCTGTCGCACCATTGGGGATCCCCCTATTCCTCTCCTGTCCTGACCGCGAGCGGAATGCGAAGTGGATGTCTCTCTTCAACCTTTCCATTGTCCATCGATGGGCGCGACGAAATTGGCTTTCGCCCTCCGTCTGTGGTGTGGTCCGCTGTCCAGGTCGACCACCCCATCGCCCTGCGCGAGTGGTTGGGTGGGCAAAGTCTAAAGCCGAATCCGGCCAAGAACTCCTCTCTGCGCCTCAACCAGCACTGCACCGCCGCGTCCGCCGTCCACCGAGATCTTCCTCTTGGCGCTTGGCGCTTGGCCTGCCTGGCTTGCACACTTGCTTGCATCTTTAACCGGATCCACTCCACTCTCATAAACGTCCTCCCCGCATCCCACCAACACGGCTAGCGGCGCTGTCGTGTTGCGTCTCCTCCCAACTGCCAATACCCGCTACTTCTGCGCACGACTTCACACCATCGCTGCCGCACCCGCCTCGCTCACCACTGCTCAGCGCCCGAGGGAGCGACCACACCGCCTGCTCCACGTCGCCGGCGCGATTATTCCTATCCAACATGCCAGAGTCATCGCCGCGCGAGAAGTCCTTGGGCTTGCTGGAGCAGGGCGATCTCGAGGTCGACTCCGATTCCACCCTGAACGAGGATGACCGGCCGCCCACACCCGTCGCGAAGACGCGCGCACAACTGGCTCAATTGATGGAACTCGGTGCCTCTCGACTGGCTGTACTACGACCTTCGTTTATGACCGTGAAGAATGTGAAGCCTGGCAAACTACGCAAGACGGCATACCTGGACGGTATGAGGGGATTTGCGGCATTGCTGGTATACTTTTTGCATCATGGGCTCTGGGCACACGCGATCTCGGGAGGCAGCACGAAATTGGAGAACACTTTTGGTTGGGACGGCGAATACTATCTTGGCGCATTTCCCGTCATCCGGACATTCTTCACGGGAGGACACTATGCGGTGTCGACTTTCTTCGTTCTTTCTGGCTACGTCTTGGCCATGAAGCCATTGACGCAAATCCACGAGGGCCAATATCTCCAGCTCGGAGACAGCATGGCATCGGGGCTGTTCCGACGATGGATCCGACTGTTCCTCCCAATTTGGATCGTCACCTTCTGCTTCCTCCTCCTCCCGCATGTCTTCGGTATCCACTCCGACTTCAAGCCCCAGGGCAACCTCGGCGATGAGATCTGGAAGTGGTACTGCGACTTGAAGAACTTCACGTTCATATGGAACACCGGCGGCGAGTGGATTCTGGACTATCACAAGCACGTCTGGTCCATCCCGGTGGAGTTCAAGGGCTCCATCACCATCTTCACCGCATGCCTTGCCTTCTCCCGCTGCACGAGGAATGCGCGTCTTTGGTGCCAAGTCGGACTGATCTTCTACTTCATGTGGATTGTGGATGGCGCTCACTTTGCCATGTTCCAGACTGGTATGCTCATCTGCGACCTCGACTTGTTGGCCGAGAAGAAGCAACTCCCGTCGTGGTTCTACAGCCTGGAGCCGTTCAAGACACCCATCTTCTACACCATGTTCGCCGTCAGCGTCCTGATGGGAGGCGTGCCGTCGAACTCTGCCGAAACCTCGCATCTGAGGGAGTCGCCCGGCTGGTACTATCTCTCCTTCTTGAAGCCACAGGCTGTGTTTGACTACCGATGGTTCTTCCTCTACTGGGCCTCGATCTTGTTGGTGGGATCTGTCCGCCACATTCACTGGCTCAAAGCCTTCTTTGAAACCCGCGCCTGCCAATTCCTTGGCCGACACTCGTACATGTTCTACCTGATGCACGGCCCTATCCTCTGGACCCTGGGAGACCGATTGTACGCCGCGGTGGGTTGGGTCAACTTCTCGCATGCCCTGATCATTCCTGGCTGGGCGGACAGCTTCCCGCTGCCGAAATGGGGACCTTTCGGATTGGAGTTTGCATATGTGGTGCCGCAGATGATTCTGTTGCCGACGACGCTGTGGGTGGCCAGCCTCATGACTGCGATCGTGGATGACCCTTCGGTCAAGTTCGCAGCTTACTGTTATTCGCTCACGCAGCCTTCCAAGGAGGACAGAGAACAGCTGGAGCAGCGCAAAGCATAGTGTGGATTGTTCACGACAGCTGTGACAGCACAACAGTGTAGATGATTTGACGTCATATTGGATGAATTCTCAATTGTACAAACTTGACGACGCGCAAGCAAGAAGGTAGCAATTCTTTACCAGTCTCGTACATACGACTCGTCCACACTCGTCACATTCACGCTTGTTGGCCTCGCTAAGCCAGCAGGGGCGACATGCATGGCACACGAGTGCCTCGGTAGGCTAAAGAAGTAGATAGAAGCTTGGAATCAAGGCGTTGATCTAGTAGGGTGGGTAGATATTATTCGGGGCACACCGCTTCCTCACACGACCCAACCTGGAAACTTGCGCGTGTGCGCGTGCGGATGCGGCGTTCGCAGCAGGGGTCGGGTGGGGAGATTGAAAGCGGAGCCGTGTGGGCCCAGAGGGATCTTGGGTGCACGTTAGAAGAACCACCGAACCTAATAAGAGATCGCATGGAATCGGCGTTGATGATGCACGTAGGATTGGAACAGAAAGAGGGGCGGCGATGCATGCCATCTCGACTTCTCTCGACCGAGGTTTCCATCGTTGTTGGGTTGGTTGTTGAGAGAGAGTGAGGGAGTGAGGAGGTCAGGTCTTTTGGGCGACGGACTTGTGGCTGCAGTGGAGTCTTTCCCGAGTAAGGTAGTGAGATTCATCATCACAGAAGAGACGCGCGGGCGTTGTTGTTATTATTGTTCTTATTATTATTAGTGTGTGTGTAGAGCCGTTGGTAGTGTGAGGTGAGGTGCCTCTTCTGTGCTGGACCGTAACGGTGTGTGGCACTTTTGTACTGTATACGGCGGCCGAGGAAGCTTGAAGGGCGGGCGGCTAGTTTGCCCTGCAGGGAGCCCAGCACACAGGAGAGCTCCCCGTCCTTCCAAGTTCTTACTAAGTTGGAACCTGCTTCCTGCCCTCATCATCATCATACACCTTGGCACCGCACCCCGAGCGAAGCAGGTCCTCCGGTCAGCTTTTATCGTTTTTATGCAGCGGGATCCTTGATGTCGCTGCTGTCGCGGGAAGAATTGTGAAGAGGGACAGGCCGGGAACAGCTCGTATCGTGTGCGCGCGCGCCTGGCACTGGCACTGGCACTGGCACTGGCACTGGCATTGGCCGCCGAAAAATGCTCGTCGGCGCGGGCAAGAGCCGGGTGCTTTCCATCGCCGTCCTGCTAATCGTCGGCTTCATCACCATCGCGACCTTCAGCTACAGCCCCTCGCTGAAGCAGGACTCCGCGGACCTGGTGCGACAGTGGAAGGAATTCACGCAGAATCCGCAGGCGCCCGCTTGGGTCAGTCAGAATCTGGGCAAAGGGAAGGAGGCCGGGGCTGCTTCTTTGCCGGCGACTCCCCCGCCTGACACGGAGGAGTTGCCCTCGAAGAATCCGAATCCGTTTGCTGCGGTCAATGAGGTGACGGGGGGCGATGTGGGCGCGAAGGAGAGTAGCAGTAGCAGTAGCAGTACAAGTACAGCGGAGGCGGCCAGTGAGCCGACGAGGGCGAGTGAGTTGGGAGGAGAAGAGCAGGAGGCTGCCCGCGTCCACGACCATCTCCCGGCCGGCGCCAGTCATGGGAAGAAGGAATACCACGAAATCTTCTCCCGCACGACGCCGGATCGTAAATACTTCAATTGTGATTTCGGCACCGGGTGGGATTACAGCTACGAGGCCATCAACCCGAGCATCATCCACCATCCGCACATGAACGATACCTGGCTCATGATCGCCCAGCACTTCCCACGCCTCCGCACATTTACCTCCGGGTGGTCTGCTCAGATTGCTTGCGATGCCAAATTCACCGCGGATGGGAAGAATCTCAGCTGTATTGCGCCGCCGCATTTCCTCGTTGTCCCACCGACTGCCAGCCCGGGATACTGCAAGGGAGAAATGAATGGAGTGAACATGTCTCCTCTGAATCTGAATGTCGGCCCACACGATGCCCGAGTGTTCTACGGGCCAAAGTCTCCCTATATCATCTACGGCTCCCAGTCCCACCACACCTGCTTCGGCCAATGGGTCCAGGATTTCCGTCTCACCTGGGACTGGGGGATCCGCTGGAATCTCTCGGACCCTTTCACCTTCCAGACCGAAGTTCAAAGACCCGGATCCTACGGCATCGTGGAGAAGAACTGGTTCCTCTTCTGGGACTACAAGGGCGACGTCTACGCCCACTACGACACCGCGCCCAAACGCGCCTTCGCCAAGCTCAACGAGGACGGCTCCGTCGGCGAAGACCTCGCGCCCTACGCCCAGCCCAGCGACGATTTCTGCTGGAAGAAATTCAACGAGCTCAACCCCCTCCCCCCGCAGGGCGACGCCAACGACGCCAAGGCCAGCATCCACCAGGCCACCAACTCCCTCGCCATCACCTTCTGCGCCCGCAGCGACACCTCCTGCTTCAAGGGCGCCTCCAACACCTTCCTCATCCAGATCTTCCAGCAGAAGATCGGCAACGGCTTCCTCCACGCCCACTACGAACCCTACGTCATGGTCTTCCGGCGCGAGGCCCCCTTCCAGATGCACGCCATCTCGCGCCGGCCGCTCTGGATTGCCGGCCGCAGCTCCAAGAGCGAGATGCTGTACGTGACCAGTATCAACTGGCGGGCCAATCAGACGTATCACGGGTACATCGACGACGTGCTGCACGTGAATTTCGGGATTGAAGATAAGCGGAGTGGGAGTATCGACGTGAGTGCGAAGGATTTGTTGGGGGAGTTGATGACTTGTTAGTTGAGACGAGACGAAGGAGGGAGAAGAGAAGTGTAAAGGAGGAGGAGGAGGAAGAGCATATCTTGTTATTTGTACAAAAACCAAATCTTGGGAGGGGAATTTTGTTGAGAGCGATCTTTTTATCGATACCCGCGAGCTTTGGAGTTACTTGAGAGTAAGGGAGAAAGAAAAAAGGCATGCGAAGCGAAATCCATGACACAGTCGCACTGGATCCATCCTGGTGGTTCAGGCCGGCCTCTCTAGGCTGCAGGAAGTGGTGTGCACTGAAGAGGAAGATGGAGGAGAAGATGCATCATGAGCAAGGCGCAATCTCGGGACTATCAATCTATATTTCTGTCGATATTTTATAGTTGTGCAAAACAGATTTATTACGACAAATTTTAGGAAGGAAGCCTAGCCCAGCCCATCTCCCAAATCTTTTCTCCCTCCCCTTCTTATTATAGCGTGACATTCGTACGCTACCTACGTATCTAGCCTTTATTATATGTACCGTTAATAGACGGGGGGGGGGGCTAGGGCCTAATAATCTAGTCGACGAGGACGATAATAATCTATAGTAGCGTTAGAATATAAGGGAGACAAGAGGGATCTAGTAGAATAGTAAGCGGAGACTATCTAATATAGAGAAGAGAGGAATACTCGTTAGGAGGATATATACGTACGTGCTCCTATAGGCGGGCTATTACTATTAATTAAATACTAGTAAAATCGTTCTTATAGTAGGGAAGTAGAGCCTAGCTCGCTCGCTATATACGCCTACTAGTTAGTACTAGATCCGACATCTAGCGATAGTAATTTAGGTCGTATTCTAGGATATATAGTAGAGAAAAAATTTTTTGTTTATCGCCTCTTCGAGGCTTCTATTAAGTCTATAACTTAATAATCTTATAATGTATAAGGACTACTTATATAAGGCTTAATCGGTATTAGGCTCGTTAGT